CGGAAGTCGACGGCGGCGGCCGCCGCCAGGCGGGGGCAACAAGGGTCTCGGAGGTCTACGACGCCAACGTCGTCATCGCCAGCGGCAGTCGCCACGGGCGTGGCAGCGGGCGTTGCCCCTGCATGTTCGGCCGCCGGTGGCGGCAAGAGAAAGAGGCCGGCATCGGCGACCGGGGGGGGACCCGGGCAGAGGTAGGATGGTGCATGCTGATTCGAGGATGCGCGCATTTGCGCTCTTGCAGGTGTCCTACTCTAGGTCAGCATCAACCTTCGACGCCTCCAGCACACAGGCGTCTATCTTCCGCCGTCCATGCCACCCAGGCGGCGTCTACTCGTCGCCCATGCCATACAGATGCATTAATAGCTAGCTGCGGCAGGGCGAAGATTCTCGCCTCAGTGCCGTACAGTAGCCTGCTGGGGTGTACCTTCTCGCTCGCGTTGTACGACCGACCCCGCAAATGCCCCCCACACGCGCGGCGGGGGACCCGTACAATACGCGCTCAGACCGCTTCTCGGAGCCCCTCGCAATGAATGATGATTGAACTTCGATTTCCCCCGGTCACCTACAATGAAAACGAACCCACGACGTCGAATCAACGAGAAGCAGAAACGTGTTCGTCTTCTCTCTTTTTTTCGACTTTTTTTTGCTCCCCTCCCCGGGTGGTGATGCTTGGCTTGGCGGTGACCCCGCGCGGCAGGTTCGGCGCGACGGCGTGGCCCAAACTCCGTGGCGGAGCCCCCCCCCCCCCACCCCGAAGAGGAGTCCCCCAGGGAGGAGGAGGAGGAGGAGGAGGAGGAGGAGGAGGCGTGCGCGAAGCGGGGGGACGGGGGACGGCATCGACGAGTGGTCGCCCGGCCGGAGGAAGGGATGGAGAAGGGGGAGAGAGGCGGCGACTTTCAGGCGCAGCCGACTGCTCTTGGCATTCTCCCTCGCTCCACACCGGATCGCCCGACGCTGCTTCTTCTAGGCCGCCCTCTCGACAAGGCCACGGAAGTGGCAACAGCAAGGGCAAGGGCCCGGCATTGCGAGGCGACGGCGGCGGTGGTGCCGGTGTGAACGTTGGTGGCGGTGGCGGTGGCACAAAGGCGGCGGGGGCGGCCACGAGGGGCCCTTCCCTCCGGGATAGGCCTGCCAGATGGGCTGCCAAGGTGCGAGGGTGCGAGACCCGCGGCCTTACAGCGATGACACGGCAGAGCTCATCTTGTTGCATTTTGTGAACAGCCACGTGAGGCGCGTCTGTCTCTCCTTGTTGTTGTTTTTGTTTTTGTTGTTTTTTTCTGGAATTGGGCTTATTATACATGCCTCTTGTCTTCTCCAAGGGTGTTCACCCACGTGCGGGATGTTTTCAGTTCGCGGGTTTTGAAAGCTACATTATGTGCCTCACATTGACGACTAGTTGATCGTCCCCCCCCCCTCCCCCCCCCAGGCGCGTGCGCATCCGCCCTATTTGCAACATGACCACGCGACATTAATGGCGCCCGAATGTTGCCAGCGTCTCTGTTATAAGAAGTAGGAACAACGCTCCGTCTCAAAAGGAACGCGTGGTCAATACACACATGACTAGTGTTGCAAGCAATAAACGAGCATACCCCCTCCGCCCCGATGATTTATTTCTAGGGCGGTGGGTCCAGCGTGTGGTCGCCGCTTCGCGCCCCAGGTGCTCCCCGCGGGGGTACCGGAAACGCGGGCAACAGCTATAGCAACAAGAACAGCACATCGTCGTGTGGGAATGCTGTCTCGGGGAAGAACTCGCCGGGCAGGAGCGTATCGTCCAGGTTTTCGCCTTCTCGCCGGGGGGCCGGGCTTCCTCGCACAGGGAGGGGCGGCGGGGACGCCGCGGCCTCGTCTCGATCGAGAGGGGGAGAAGATGGGGAAGGCGAAGAGGCTCCCACGTTCGAGGTGAACGGTGTGCCCTAAGCCTAGCGTTGGATTGGTGTCGGAAGAAGCAGTAAGAATAATATGCATAGTGGCAGCAACAAGCGCTCTTCTGTGTCTCATCATGTGGAGACGTTGTTGTTTTTCGTCTGGTTTGTGGCGACGACGCAATTTTTGTGGGTTAGGCGTCTGTAGAGCCCTACCATGCGTTGCGATGTTGCGGCGCAATAGCTCTGGATGTGTAGGCTTGGAAGGAGGGTTTACGCGCAGACGGAAGGAGACACGTCTTCGTGTGTCTGAAGCAGACGCGCGAGCTGTTCTTGTGGCGCATGCTGACGTACGGTCCCGCTTCCTGCACCACTTCTATCGGCGCTTTTTTCGAGGGTATGGGTGACGAGTTACGAGGCTCCGCTTGCATTGTTCTTTTCTGTACGACCTCCTCGACGGCAAAGCGGGTGACACGGTCCGTGTTCGGTGGCCACGGCTAGGTTTGGGCGTGTTTATACTGGCCGCCCTTTCCCATTGCACACAGAATTCGTTTTTTTTTTCACGGGTCCCAACACAGAGGGGGGGGACTTTTACTGCTTGTGCTCCGTTGCTACGAGAATCCTAGCAGAGTGCGCAAGGCTGCCGTTGTGAGGTGCACTTGATGTCTTTGTCGCTGTCGAGCGTTGACGCCCTGGCGTTGTTTTCAAGATGCAACCGCAGGTGCGTCGAACCCGACCATGCTCTGGTTGTAGCCAAGCGCAAGTGCTGGTCCGAACCCACCCCGCCTTGCACCTACCCGCAAGAACCCCATCCCGCCCTCTCTCGCGCCGAACCCCCCGCTTTTCGCCGAAAACGAACGAACGAACCTGCGCCCGCTCAGCTGACATCGGTGTTCCAAGCCACCCCTGCCAGCTCTTCGGTGTCGCCTCGACCCAGGGGCTCAGGCGGTCACACTCCGGGGGGACGGTGGAGGGGATCTCAGCACCCCGTGGTCCGGGCCGGGCAGCGCGCTGGCTGCTCCTCTGGCGGCGCAGCAGCAGCAGCAGCAGCAGCAGCTGGCACGCCGCCGTCGTTCGACCCTACCCGCCTGGCGGCGCGGCCGAGACCGGTCGGAGGAGAAACAGAGGAGGAACTGCAGGAGGTGGAAGAGGTGGAGGAGGTGGAGGAGGTGGAGGAGGTAGGGTCCGACGACTATGGCGAAGACGGTGGCGAGGGTTTCCTCAGCAGCAACGCTTGTCAGGTCGCTGACGGGGATCGGGGGGCGTCGCAGGAGGGTCGCGGTGGCGAGGGCTGGCGAGAGGCGGATGGCGGAGCCGGAGGCGGAGCCGGAGGCGGTGTGGTCGACGACTACGAAGACCAGCTGTTGGGGGAAGAGGGCGGCCGAGATGCAGCCGCGACGAGGTTGGACGTGGGGATGCAGCAGCAGCAGCAGCAGCAGCAGCAGCAGCGGCGGCTTAGGCCGTCGGGTGCCGCAGGCATGGAAGGGGAGAACCCGGAGAGGGCGAGAGCCGTAGCCCCGTCGGGGGGCGCGCTGGATCCCACAGGCACCGGGAGGAGCGGCGAGGACGCACCCGGAGTAAAGAAAGAAGCTGTTCCAGACTCGCGTCGGCTTGGCACTCTCCCGGGCGAGACTCCTGGCGCAGAAGCTGGGACGGCGATGGAGGCGTTGGCCTTGTCCCCGGCCGCTGCGCGACGGCCGCAACGAGTCAACGATACCGCCGCAGAAGCCACCGCGACTGCGGCGGCGGTCGAGACACCGCGAGGTGCAAAACGTCGTCATCACGAGCAACAGGCGGAGAGGCAAGGGGGTCGACAGAGCGAACCCATCAAAGACCGGAGCAGCCCCCCGCCTCGCACCCCCGTCCGACCCCCGCGAACGATGTTCGCGCCTTCCACCTTCGGACGGAGCGGCCCTACTGCTTCTTCCGCCGCCGCCGCCTCTACTTCTGCATCCACCACCGGCGGGAAGTGGCGGCCGTCCTTCGGCAGCGCCAGCGGTGCGAGGGGCGGCGGGCAGTCTCCGGCCGCCGGCGCGATGCACGCCCCCCGGGCGGCGTTCTCCACTCCCGCAAGGGACAGGGACAAGGACAGGGACAGGGACGGGGTCGTGATGCCGCCATCGGGGTCTTTGGGGACGGGGGCTACGGGTTCGGCCTCGGCCAGGCGGAGGAAGGGGAGCGGGGCGGGGAACGGGCCTTTGGGTCGCCTTCTGCAGCAGGTGCGCCGCTGCTCGTGCTTCTCTGTGTGTGTGTGCGTCTGTATCTTGTTTGTTGCCGTTGCCGTTGCCGTTGGAGGCAGGGGGGCGGGGCGGGGAAATGTACCTGTGGGTGTGCTCCGTGCGTGCACCCGTCTCTCTTCGTTTGTTGCCGTTGTCATCGTCATCCGCGCCGCCTGCTGCAGCAGGTGTGCCGCTGCTCCTGCGTGTGCGTGCGTGTCTTTTTGTTTGGTTGCCGTTGCTGTCGTCGTTGTTGTTGCTGCTGCTGCTGCTGCTACTGCTGTGGCTGTTGCCCTTGTCTGTCGTCAAGTGTTGAATCACAGCCCACCCCCCAAAACACACGCCTACGCAGGTGAGAGCGCGTTGCGACGGCGACGAGGCGCGCCTCCTCTCGGGGGAGTTCCCCTTCAGACAGCCGTCGTCGGCCTCCAAGGCCACCACCAGCGGCAACAACAACAACGGCCACCTCGACGACGTCGGAGTCGGCGGCGGCGGAAGCGGAGGCAAGAGCCGGAGAGATCCCGGCGACCCCAGAACTCGTTGCAGGGTGGCGCTGGACGCCACGGTAATGCTCCCCGCTGCTACGCCCCGAGGACCTTCGGTGGGTTTTGAGGGCGGCCTTTGGGGCGGCGGTGAGGGGAACGAGTTGGGCCAGGCCGGTGGCGGCGGGGTGACTGGGCTGGTGCGATTCTCGTGCTTCGTGCACCATGTGGTGGACGTGTCTTTGAGCTTGGGCGGCAGCCGTGTTAGTCCTGGCTCTCGTCGTGTTACTTCTGCCGTCGGCTACGCCGCCGGTCCGTCGGGTGTCGCGACCGACTTCGGCCGCCTTCACCGGCTGGAGGGGGTCCGCGTGGACGGAATCTTCAAGCAGGACACTCGAAGGGCCGTCGACGTTGGCCCCGGGTCCCAGCTCCGCATCTACGACCCTTGCTGCGTCTGGTACGACGCTGAGGTCGGAGGGGAAGGGGGGAGAGCAGAGGCGTTGCTGGTGTGCACGCAGTTGTGCGAGCCATACCCGTCCTGCTTGCCGGCGCTGCCCTCGCCCCCACCCCCGCCCCCGACAGGGGGTGGGTCATCTTCCCACGAGAGCGGCAGTGGCGAAGGTTCCCGGACGACCGGTACTGCAGCAGCCAGCGCCCTGACTTGATTGAGTTCTTTGGAGAAAGGGGTGTGCGCCCTTCGTTGTTGGTGCCGATTGTGTGTTTACCTTGTCAATACGCACAGCGGTTAAGATGGTGTTCGCACCCGAATAGTTGTACATTTCCTTTTCTCGGGTTGCGTCGTCTGCCGTTTTTGCCGCCTGCCCATCCTGTACGATTGATTGCTCGCAGTTTTGGAGGAGGTACTACTGTAGAGTGCGATAGTGAGACGGGGTTGACGCCTGCCCTCTATCGAAGCACTAGGCGATGGTACGAGGCATTTTGTACAGATCGCGCTTCGAGGGGGGGGCAGGCAGGTCGAGCGATCTGACTCCTATTGGCGTTACTTTCCCGCACGTTCAGTTGACGGAGAGGTACTGAGTGTGGCAGTGTTGCTATCGCGGTGAAGAGTCTCATCGGTTTGTGAATACGCGTCTTCTTCCAAGCAGGCTCTGGCAAAGCTTCCCTAGGGTGCATCGACACACCCGTCCCAAAACCAACTCGTCGAGCACGACAGAGATCCTAGTATTCCCGTACCGTCGCTTGTTTCACGTTGTGGCCGCGGCGGCGGCGGCGGTGAGCGAACGTCAGTTCCCTCTTTTGCTTTTGCACTACCTTGAGAGCCGCCATCCACGACCGAGACACGCCGATACCAATCGAAGCTGTTTTGGGGGGCTATAGTTGTGCCCCACTTCAATTAGGGTACCATCTAGGCCTGTGCACCAGCTACTTCGGCCACTGCCGTCGATTTGTTTTTGGTCCGGTCATCTGGTGGTGGTGAAGAAGCTGCGAGGACATCCTAACTTATGCCTTGAGTTGGTCATTCCTTGAGCTAGTCACGACTACAGGGCAACTGCGACACAGGTCAAGCGACGACCGACCAGGGTTCTTGGACCACAGCGCGCAGCCTCAACTAAAAGAAAGGCGATTGCTGTTGTGCAAAGATTCAGTTGCAGGGAGCACGATATTCGTCACAAGCAGGTAACGGTGCGACCAACCCCCATCCGTACGTTCCTGTCGGCGAATCCCGCCACCAGAACCTCCAGGTGGAAAACCACCGTGCCTGCCGTCTCCGTTCTCAGCTCGAAGCGATCCGCTCCCGAGGCCGCGGTTGTCACCTCCACGAGGTTTGGTGGGGCACCAAGCAAAGCCGCTGTGCATAGTACGCCGCGTCCGGCGCGAAGGGAAAATGTGTGGCGTCAAATAGCAGCAGATAGATCCTCATGGAAGAAATTCAGTGGTTCTTGGTGGTGCAAGAACAGGAGGCGATGCTTTGTTCTTGGGGCTGTCGTTCTGAGGTCACTTCATGAGTAACGTGCCCTAGCACATATATATGTGGTCGTATTTCCCGCTCTTTGCTCGTATCGTAGAGACGAGTCTGCCGTCTCCAACGCCGGGCCATTCATTCCCTGACCCATGGTTCTTTTCATTTTCCTAAGCTTAAGGCGTGTCCGCCCGCTACCCGTATTCTGAGGACTTCAAAGTTTGTTAACACGGAGACCCTGGTCGAGCACAAGGACAAACAATAAAAAAATAACGCTCCTCCCCAAACGGATACCGATGGGGGCTGTCGTCCACGAGCTTCAAATGACTTTGCGTCACCAACCGATTCAGCAGTGTGTGGGAGGATTCGCTTGTGTGTGCCTCTCTTACCAGAGAGCTGATCGCCCAGCGTGCCCTGTGGTCTCCACGTGACGCAGTCTAGGTCGTAGGTGCCCGGTGATGTAGGCACAAAGATCATGCCGTATCCAGCTGGCGTTACCGTCGTGCAACACGGCACCCGAGGAGAGGGAGAGAGAGAAGAGTCAACGGGCTTTGGTCCCGCCAAAGTACGGATAAGAACCTCTCTTAGTTGAATCCGTCTCACCACCCGTAAAGAACTGAATATATGGCACATCGAATGGATACGGTTACCGTAGATATTTTGAAATATTTCCTCCCTATTTGGCAACCTATAAGTATATACATGGTTCAATGATTCATGATTCCTGACCCAGCCCTTAGCTGCGAATGGCAATTTATCTTGTCATCCCCCCTACTTGCTACGTTACTGAAACGATCGTGGGAGTTTGAGGCGGGGGCAGTTTATTGCCCAAAGATTATTGCGTTCCGATCGACGTTGTTGAGTAATTTCAACGAACACTGTTGACATGTGCCTGCCGGCGTACAGCCCTCGTCTGCCGACTGTTCAAGCAGTATACTGATGTGCAAGTCAACCAACTTCACCCAAAGGAAACCATCTGTCTGTTCTTTTGTAGATCCTGTTATAGTTGCGCTAATCACAGGTTCGCAGTTGGTTCTTCCCCTCTTACCAAGCTCGCTCCGGTCGCACCCGTCGACGCTCCAAACCTGATGATCAGGTGTCGTATTGCAACCAGACGAAATTGTTGGGCGCGACAAATACCAAGCACTAGAATGCAGTATCCAGGCCCAAGCACACTATCGACAATGGTCGACAGCCAGTCTTGAGTTCCGATATTGAGAGCAACGCATTGTGCAACAAGCTTAGCTCAGCGCGGCAAATAAGAATGAGGCAGGCTCATCTCACGACAGGAAGAGGTTGAGTAGGGCGCGTCCCGGCGACACCAGCTGCAAAAATATGTTGTTGGCAGATTCCATGTATCTCATTCCGCGCTGATGTTCTCATTTTCGGTATGCATTGGTGTATGATCGGGCACCAACGTTCACGACAAGGAAATACGGCAACCACATTTCATTTGGTGCTGGACCGTTTTTTCCATTGCGTTCAATTCTGGGCATCTTTGACCCCAAAGCGCTCTGTGCTAGACGGGCTAGTGGATACGGCACGAAACGATAGTAGTCCTCCCAAAATGCCTTGAACATAACCGCCATTACCCCATTCGATTGCCTCCATATTCCGTGTTCTGGCTGCAGGTGGATGTAGCATGTGCTTACCTCCACGAGTACCCTTGGCCACCCGGATAAAGAGTCTGTCCCGAAGTGCACGTCGATTGGGTGATTCCACACAGCGGATCCTTCACCCTTGCAAATTGTTGTAGTTTTTCCGCACCAAGAGTATTCCGGGTCAAGGTCAAATACGTGAATATACGTCGCGTGAATCTCAATCAACGCCTTGAAAGCTGTTGCAAGACGGGAAGACGAGAAAGCAAGCGCTGTGCGCTGACTCATGCATACTCACCGGACATAACCTATCGCGAGTAGCTTATACCCAACGTTGGTGCCACATATATTTTGCACTCATCCCACATATTTTCGGCTGTCGCGGTACAAGTAGTATGTGGTCTTTTCTTTTGGCCGGTGTACTGTGATCTGGAATCAATTGCTGCACGTTCGACTTTGACAAAGCGAAAAAGTGCACATGTACATTGGCTTCCATGTAGAGAGTCCTGTCTAGTGTATGCTGCCAAACACGGCATCGTTATTGCTCACGTCGTGATTTTGCAAAACGTGGAATTCTATGCGTTGTGTGCCGCGCGGCGGCTAGATGCTGCTCGCTTGTTCTGCATCAAACTCACGGATGCCTCGTCGACTTGTGTGTACCCTTCTTCCGCCCCTTGCATTACGTGCCAGTGCTGCGTGTTGCAAACGATCTTGAAGCGAGCGTACAGCCGGCTACCGGGGAACCCCAGCGCCCCGGTGATGTCGCCAATGACATGGACTGCAAGGGAAGTATGGCCGAGTATGATCGAAAGGAAGAACTGAACAGTATGCGATGGAGAGAGTGAAGTGGTCGTCCTATTCAACCGAAATCTTCGTGTGAAGGTCATTTGGAAACCATGGCAAAGGGGAAATGGTGAAGATATCACGTCATAGTAGAGAACGCCCGAACTGGCGCTTCTTCCAACTCCAAACGTGAGAACGGAGGTCAAGTTTCATGCGGCAGAACCAGCAACTACACGTAGTGGCAGCATGAACAGAGTACTGCAATAGTCGAGCTTATGAAGGAAGAAACTACACGGGGAAAATTATACGTTGATGCGGGATTCTGTGCACTATGATTGGTAGAAGGACTCTGGCTCACCATCATTCCCTACCCACGGCGACCCAGCGCCTCCCCTGCCGTCGCAGATTCGCCTGCACAGGCACAATTTGTATCTTGTGTCTGGAAGGCTTTACTTGTCCTCTTTGCAGGTAGACATACAGATAGACATACTGAGGGTTTCTAGCCCTATATCTCAACCACCAGCAACCACACCTAAACCACTCCACCCCCAAGTAGAGGTGAGACCTTGGTTGAGGTGCAGGTGAATTGATTCCCGACATGTATCGATCGTTTGTTTCCGCAGAAATAAAATCGCTCGCATGACTATTAGCCTTGTCCTGTGCATGCAAATGCGTACGTTGAAAAAGTGCAATTGTCAATTAGCTTGAAGCACAACTGTCTGGATCCCCTGAAGAATGTGGGATACAACAAACACCACTCTCATGTTCGGTGTGGCATCGTGCCAAAAGCGGTGTGGCATCGTGCCGCAAAGATACGAACGACATGCCGGGTTTGTCTCAACACCATACCCGAGGATATGGGGATACGACTCGCACCTTCAGGCATATCTGCAGGTCGGCGTAGTCCAGTGCCCTGTTTTGCTCCGCAGCAGCAGTAGTGGTTGTAGGGGTCATCCAAAAAGGAGGATACGCACCACGGAGATCACCAACTGCTTAGCTGCGTAGCTGCCCGAGTTCGGAGATCTCCCCGCATCTCTATCCGAACCGACACGTGAACCTAGCGTGCGTACGTACGTGCGTACTACCATTCGTGGGGCCTCCAGGCGAGACTGATGTGAGAGCGTGTGTAAGTGTGGTGCGTAGGTCCACCTGCCACGCCACAGGCAGCGTTTGTGAGGGGTCAAGGTGAGCATCTCATCTTTTGAATATACCAGCCAGACAAGCGCAATGTTTCCTGTCCCACGACGAAAGCGCGCCCGTACCTAGCGGTGGTAGATCACGCGGCACAAAATCACACGCGTGGAGGTGTGTTTATGCCCCAAACGTGAGGCGCCCCGGTGACCGTGATGTTAACAGACAATCATGCTTCCTGCTGCTCCATAGAATGCGCCGCGAGCGAAGCGCGGCTCGCAATTGGTGGCATGAATCGATGCGTATTTTGCTTTGGCATGGTGGCGTCCTGTGATTTACGCGCAATCTCCCAGCCACCAATAGCGAGTTGTAGCTCCCTGCCGCCTTTGTCGTTCAACACCACCAGCGTTGCTTTGCATGGTAAAACACTACGGATCGAGCAGCTCGAAGGTTGACCGCACACCTGCAGCTGCTGTACGTGGGACAAGTGTTGCGTAGGTTCACTATCGCTTGCCGTTTCCTCTGATCTCACACCTGTGCTTGTTGTGTCGCCTGTGCGTATGCACACTTTTTCCCGCCCTCTCTTGTACGCACAGCTACCGCAGCAGGTTGTGATCAGCCATGAAGTGTGCCGCTGCTTTGGTGGTCGGGGGGGCGGTCTGTGCGCAAGCGTTCCTCCCAGCCTCGTTGCCATGTCACTTGACATCATCGAAAGCGTCTGCTGTAAGAGCGAGCCGAACAAGCGTGCGTATGTCAGCCGCGGCGGAACTGCCGACGCAGGTGAGCAGGCACAGGGAATTGAGTGCGTTTTTTTTGTTTGGTCTCGCGAAGAGAGCGAAACCACCTTCAGTCTGCTGTCTGTACATGTACAGTAAATAATGTGACATCAGATTGCGGTAGGGTTGTAGCATGAAGTGCCTTTTTTTTAGTACTGTACCTGCGAGTCTACCCGCACTACTGCTGTGACCGCACACTGCACCACGCCCGAACCACCGTGAAGTGCATGCGAGCAAAGCGAGTCACGGTGAAACTCGAATTTGCTCAAACCGATTTACATCGACAGCACGCCAGTCTACGTTTTTTTCTCCTGGTGGTGGGCGCTCTGCTAAAGAAGAGTGGTTGCGGACTGACTTCCACGGGAAGATTCTCCCCCCCCCGGTTTCCCACACCCCAAAACGTACAGCGCAGCCTGAGGCAATGACGATACATACTTTAATGCATAGTTCATCTGACTGTCAGTGAAGAAACTTTGCTACCATCTTTTTTCTATCGGAGCCTCTCCTTCGCCGTGTTTTGAACCCCCCAACCACGTACTAGCGATTGTCGTCTGTTCGGGGAGGGCCCACACAGGGGCAGCTCGGACGGGTCGGACAACCCCTCAGATTCACGCACCCTCCTAGGTATGCATAAGCGATTTCACATTCGACCTACTTGTACAATACACATGCCAGCAAGCGGAGAGCCTTCCTACCACGTGGTCTGCACATTCGCGTTCCAATCAGATGTCCCCCTCTTTTTGAGGCGGCGAGAACGCAATCGATCTCGGCTTTTGATCGAAACCAACGCGTGCTACTGCTGTGGTCGCCGCATTGGGGACGCCGTGTCTCCTTGTGCGCGATGCGCGATAAACAATGAATGAGATGGCTCTGGCCCCGTTTTTACCGATGCCACCCCGCCGCCTACAGGATGGATGTGGGTCTACAGAGTAGTGTCATCTCTCTGAGCTTGCTTTCACGGTATCACCCGAGGCGCTGATGCGATTTTTATGAAACATGTTAGACTGCTGACAGCTTCGTGCTGAGAGCGTTCGGCGTCCGAGCTGAGCTTCTGGGTTTCCGCTTCAGGGATTTTTTTTTTTATGCCTTTCATCGTATGGTTACGAGACCAACAGGACCAATACACGATTCCTTTGGCAGTGCGTGCAAGCACTCTAGTTTTTCTGGCGGTCCCCCGTCAGGTTAGAGAGGGTCCCCTCCCTGCTTGCTTGCGGCGTGGTCGCACACTCTCTCTGTCGGAACACACCGAAGGCACTGATGCGATTTTACGAAACATGTTAGACTTCTGACAGCTTCGTGCTGAAAGCATTCCGCACCCGAGCTGAGCCTAGGTGTGTTCTTCCCTGGTGTGTACTACACTACAAGCGGTCTGGCGGCTTTCGCCGCCCCGCTCAATAGATCGATTCCAAGATACGCGATAAGTGGTACTCAACATTCATTCGTGCCAGTACATATAAAGTATTCAAAATGAGAAAAAATATGCATCGGTGCGGAAAGAGGGCGTACTCGATTCATGCCATACAGCAGTAATTGCAGTATCTGATGAACATTAAAATGAAGTAGCATTGGTGAACGGAGAGTGGTGGTAGTGCTGGCGGCTTTCGCCGCCCCGCTCAATAGACCTCGACCGACCTCACCGCCACAAGTGCGCCCGGCGTCTACTCGCTTGGTTCATCGTGTATTAACTGACTGAGTATATGTATGCGTTGCAGCAGCAAGCTATAGCACGGCACACAAGAGTTCAAATGTCATGCGGAGCGCGGAGCTGATTGCTCGGCCAAATATATTTGATCTGCTGTGGTGTGCCAAACGTTCGTCGTGAGCCACACAACTGCGATGAGATGAGCGGCCCCAGTGAGAGAAAAAGGACTGAGCAACAAACGGACCAAATCGTTCGAGCTACTGCTGCTGCTATGCTGGCGTCATGAGCAGCTTATAGTTTCCGCCACCAACGGGCGAGAGATGTATGTGTTGTCTACCTGGCACATGCTTTTTAGCAGAAACATGGTTTACGGAGCGCAGTATTCCGACTGGAAGCTATTGTAACAGTAGGGTGATCGTAGGATAGTAAGGAAGGCGATGACGATACACAAAATGCATAGTTCATCTGATCGTTGAGTGGAGACAACTTGCACCATCTTACTTTTCATCGGAGCCTTCCCACGTTGCCTGGAGTTGACAAGCTTGGTACTTGCAATCGCTGACAGTTAGTTAAAACAGTACCTCCAGCAACAGCCGTGTCGCTGCTTGTCTCCCCTGGTGTCTCTACTCATCGTGTTGATCCGGGATCAAACGGGATTGATTTCTCTCCCTGACCTACCCTTCTAGGGTGTGCTTTCACCTAATTGTATTCACCTGACTGTTTTTGACGAGCCACCGCTCCCCAACGCGCGCGCGCGCGTGTGTGTGTGTGTGTGTGCCGCAGTGTTTGTCGGGGAGCATGGCGTGACACCCCGTTTCTGAGTTTCACTTTGTCTGTGATGAATAGGAAAGGCTTGTGCAATAATATGCGCCTCGTTTTGCTGTTGGTATGCTATCGTGACAGCACACAAAGACGAAAACCACAACGGTGCCTTCCCTTCCAACTAGTAGCAGCGGATGTAAACTAGAGGCGGTATGAGAGGGAGTTGTACTTTGTGCGGGTGGGCCGTGACGATTAAAAAAGCATAGTTCATCTGACTTTTTTCAGTGAAGAACTAGCTCACAAGCAAATGTCTTTCGCTCCTATCCGAGCCCCGATAACCGAACAACACCCTCACATCAACCCTTGATTCGTTCAGTAAAGCTGTAATATGGCTAAAGCATTGCGAATATGGGATAACGAAAGTATGGGACGCACAGCAGTTGTGTATGCATACCCCGTTGAAGCTCGCGGCTCAAATTTCGGTGGGGCCATGACGATGCAAAATGCATAGTTCATCTGATTTTTCGGTGAAGAACTAGCTCAAAGCAAATGTCTTTCGCTCCTATCCGAGCCCCTACGATCAAGCTACAATAACTGTACCGTGGAACCGTCATACCATGGTACTGGTAGCGTCACAAGCGTCTACCACCAATTGTACGGTTTGAACCGACCTTGCCAAAACTTGAACGTTTTTGTTTTTTGCTGTTGAGGTGGCCGACACACGGCGTCTCGACCTCTCGTGGCCACAACTTAGGGTACTCCGGGCGTTTATTGTTCTCTGAAGTAATGTAGATGCCGGCTGAAAGCCCGCCGCTATCCACTCCTGGAAGGCTTGATTCCACGTGGTACATTGTTCGCCATACAACGCTTTGTACGTAAAACGCGCGTGTTGCTTGTGGGCCGTGACGATGCAAAATGCATAGTTCATCTGACTTGACAGTGAAGAACTAGCTCAAAGCAAATGTCTTTCGCTCCTATCCGAGCCCCCAAGCCCTCTTGACGTGCTACAAGGACGTGTGTGCCTTTTCGAATTGTTTTCTCCTCTAAGGGCGTGTGCGTTGTGTTTTGTAGTTGGGGACAGCCCTCATCCCCTAGTTTTTCGTCTTTCGTGGCGTACATTGGTCTGCCCCCTCCCTTCTGTATCGCATGGTTTCACGTGTTGAAGGGCAACATATGGTACCACGTTCTATCGAGAGTCAGAGTACATCAAGTGTCGTCCAGATGGCGTTATACCGCAGACGACGTGACCAATCCTCTTAATGTTTCTCCCAGATGGCCTTTCATGTATAGCGCAGACGGCGTGATGTGTCCTCTGTTGGTGCCACACAAAAGAGGCGATACGAAGGATGCCCATTTTTTTTCTTTTGTTTGTCCGTGTTGTCCTTGTTTCCGGTCGCAGGCCCAGCGACAGAAGGCGTTGTACGACATGGTGTACGTGGAGCGACTGCCGGAAGAGCAGCAGATGACCTCTGGACTTTTCCTGCCTGCTAAGGCTAACCCCAGGATGCACGTCTGCAAGGTACGCGACATGGGTACTTCGAAGTATGATAGTACGACAATCTCGACGGAATGGGGTCTTGTCGTTCTCTCTGAGGAAAGGATGGAAGATAGGGTCTTGTGCATGAAGAAAGATCGTCACATGAACGATTCTGATACTGTTCATCGCCGCCGACAGTCACGATCGTGTCAGATCCATCCCATCGCTTGGACAGTGCAGTGATGACAGCGGTTTATTTATCGCACCTGGCGAACAGACCGGTTTCATTCATTCGTGTTTCGAGTTGACATTAATACATCGTCAGGGCCATTCAAGGTGAAGGTGAGCAATGTGCACCATACGAACGCCATCGAAGAATATTTCCCATGGGGGTCGTATTGATGACAACGACCTGCATTTCTCTTGCCGGTCACCAGCCAGTCTGTCGTTCGCCGCAACTCTTGTTTTGGTTGTGATCATCGTTGCCGCTGTCCATAGTGTGAAGACATCGGTGGCTAGTGATGATGTTTGTGGGGAGGATGGGAGAGATTGCGTCGGGCGCGACGCGCACCCCTATTTTCTTTTTGGTGGAGCGTGTAGCCCCCATGTATTAACGGTGCACAGTGCGCGTTAATGTCTTGTTCCTTCCGTCTCTTTCTCGGGAAAGGCCGCCCCCCTTGCCGTGTTCAACGCCACTTCTGCAGTCGGGGCTCCTCTAAAGCGTGGGTTTTGTGCTACAGTGGTCCGATTTTCCTGCCCTATTCGAATTCGAACAAATTGATTTTTGTGCTAAGAGGTCTCACCCGCCCGTATCCCAGACACTCGTCGCCGTGCACATCTAAAGCCCGCACTATTGAGTGACCCCGACTTTTACCCCCCTCGTTTGTGACCCCCCAACGATTTTGTGACGTTTGTCGTTCGACGACGCTTGCATCGCAGGTCGTCTCGATCGGGAATGGCCGCGAAGGGGAAAGCGGCAACGTTACGCCGAACGATGCCGTAAAGCAGGGCGACCTCGTCTTCGTGAAGGATCCCTACGGGATTGGTGAGTTGGTCCTGCAGCGGTATTCGTGTCAGGTTGCTTTCCATTGAGCAGCAGACAGGGGCCGACAACAACACAAGCGCTGCCTCCTTCTCCAGAGAGAGAGAAAAACTTCAGCCAAACGTTTGAAGAACGAAAACAAGGACGACCCATGCAACAGACCCCCAGATAAAGTAATCAAACCTTGTGCTTGTAAAGATATGGAGTCCCCGGTGTCTCTAACATGCACGCGTCTTGGTTGAGTCTAGCTCATTCGCTTCTTCTTGAGGCCCCAACGGCACGTCTGGTTCCAAAAACGGATGGCATGTATCTCGCACGTGGCCCTCACACGACATTTTCACCATAGATCCCCACTCCTTGCTGCAGCTCACACTCGACGTCTCACCTCACGTAGTCTCACCACACGTGAAGCGGGAAACTACGGACCGCGCGTGTGCGTACAGCCGTTGATGTAAGCGTTACGATGTTGTTTTTGACCAACGATTCGTTTTGTGCGCTTGATTCTCCTCCGCGGCTGCTCCACGTCAACAACTCTGCACTTTTTGTTTTTTATTCGTCAGGCCCACGAGACGACGAGTTCGCCGGGAAGAAGTTCTCTTTCGTCCGGTACACGAGCATCTGCGCCGTCATCCCGAACTCGGAAGATTTCGAGAACGCAGCGCGAGAAGCGGGCAAGTTGCAGGCCGAGATCGACAAGGCTGCAGGCAGCGGCCTCGTGTTTTAGTATTGAGCGCTCGTCGTTGTTGTTGTCGTTATCATACCATGTTAGACTGTGTTTGTTTTTGATTTGGTCTATCTCTGTTAATACTCGCGGGGAGAGTGACTGCTGGCGAAAAATAGAAGGTCATCGTGGGGGACGGGGGGTGTACATGCTGTAGTCTGAGTAGGCCGTTCGGCCGCAGCGGCGATGGTGGTCTTAAAGTCAAGATGGGCGTACACAGGGCTGCTTTCATTTACTCCAGTTCACGCTTCGTGCTCTCTGATCCGGGTGGGTGGGCTTTGGGTCGCGATTGCATGTTCAGCTCGATTCTGAGTCCCTACTGGCAGAACGGGTCGGGCAAGGCAATCTACTGCCTTTGGTTCTCATTCAAGCGTGTGCTCTTCCTGGTACGGGCTGCCCTGGCTCCGTGTGAAGCCTGCCTCGGATGTAATTTGTATACGGTGCATTCGCCCGTAGTTTCCAGAGGAGAGACAAATGCACTCTCCGCTTGGTGGTGGCGAGCCGTTGGTGAATGGGCAAGACAGGTGTCAGGTATATAAAAAACAGCCGAAATATATGGCGTTTTGCCGAGAAACAAAAGTCACAGATGCCGTGAGATTGCAACCGTTCTGTGCGTCTACTCTGGAATCATGGTGATCCCGTCGTGTTTAGCTTTGTGCTGATGTCAACCGCGCAGGCCCTTTCCTCTCTCTGGAACTCCGCTGATCCACGCCCTTCACACTCAACTTTGATTTTTTTTTCACGGTCATGGTGCACGCATTACAGGGCAAGGCGATTTCGTCACGTCGTATCTCCGCACCAAAACAAGTTTTTTGTCCCATGCGCGGTGTTCCTGATGCTCTGGCGGCGTTGCTGAATCCGCTTGAATGTCTAGCGGTTCTCTCACGATAGGGCCTCCGTAAGCTCAGTTTTGTTTGATGCCCATGTGCAACAAGTTTCGTAGCCCCCCAAGACTGCCTCGCTGTTGTTGACCGGGGTTCTAACTCCGGGACTACGCACGCTGTTGCGTCCCTTGGCACTCGTGCTGCTTTGATGCAAGGACATTGCCGCTCCAGCAGTATCGTGCGTATGACCGCTACCGGGCGTTGGACTAGTCCCGCTGGCCACATCCGGTGGATATTAATGACGGCCTCGATCACTCGATGCATGCAAGGCTGTCCGTCGCTGCTGCCACAGGCAGGCATGCATGTCATGTGTGTTTAACTCCTCGCGTGTTCCAAAATTCTTTTTTCGCTCCTGTTCTTATTCGTTATGTGTCGGGACGGTTTCAGCAAGGTTCTGTCGGAATTTCGGCCCCAAGTTGGCTATTTTTAATGAAGTGTTCGAGCATTCGGTATTACTTCAAAGTATCGGGTTGCGAAACAACTTGATGATCGTCACGACCACTCTGCGGGATAATAACGGCCACCGAAAACTTGTTTCCAAAACCAAAAGAAGGCAAATTTCAATGGCAAATTGCGTTTTTTGTTGTTTTTTTCACCCATTATTGGATTTTGTCGTCTGCCCCTCTGGCCCCTATCCTCCATTTCTACTAATAGCTAGACGACCCAACCGGGGTCACATAGGAGGGGGGGGCTGGACCCCCTCCTGCGGTTCCTGCCTGAGATATCTTTATCGCGACAAGGGTAGGGTACAGCAATCCCTTCCCTCGCGACGTATGAAGTCGATCGAGTTTACTAACAACGAGCTTCGCAGCGCGTCGCTTTCAACTTAGGCCATTTGTTACGGTGTCTTTTTCATTAAATATTTTTCCCCCAAAAGATACGATCCAAAAAATGATCTACAACAAAGATTACCCTTTCTTGCGGTGCTGGTCCATCCTTTTTTGCTATTCCGAGTCATCGACCGAAAAAAAAGAGACCCTGCAACGGCCGTTCGTCACACATACATACATACATTGTACATGCATACACCTTCCACCGCTATGGTATTTCGGTTATATCTCCGCATACAGTGAAGCAACAGCGATGACAAAGGCATCCGCCATGAGCTGTGTGTATGGTCCGTCTTGGGTGGTGGCTGTTAGAGACCACAGGGCGATTTGAGGCACGAAAACTGAGGTGGCGAGGGTCAACAGCACGCCGGAAAATACCCACCGCGCCAGCAACCAGTTTTTTTTGCTCTTTGGCTTATCTATGTCGCAACTTTGGTTTTTCGATGCTCCCTCGCCACCCACTCCAACACCAGCGATGACAAAGGTATCCGCCATGAGCTGTGTGTATGGTCCGCCTTGTGTGATGGTTGATACAGACCAGGAGGCTGAAGGGCGCTCAAAAATTGTGAGCGCAACAAAGAGTCGTGGACAGGCGGGAAATATGACCCGCCTCGTCTTCAAGCAATTTGTTTTTGCTCTTTCGCCCGTGTCGCAACTTTGGTTCATCGATGCTCCCTCGCCACCCACTCCAGCAACAGCGATGACAAAGGTATCCGCCATGAGCTGCGCGTATGGTCCGTCTTGTGTGGTGGTTGACACAGACCAGGAGGCTATAGGGCGCCCAAAAGTTGGGTTCGCAAAAGTTGACAGCACACCAACAAAGACCCCCCGCTGCTGCTGCGTCCAGACTCTCTCGGCTCGTTTGCCGCTTGTTTGCACCGCACACATCGGGTTGTCCACTTGGTCCAGCCGCATGAAAAAACAACGCTAACGCTGCACCAGTCACATGACACAGCTCGCGTGAACACCGTTAGAGTTTGCGGGGATCAACCGTCGAGAGATTAGTTTGTAGGTAGCGTCATGTGGTTGTGACCAAAAAAAGACCACAGAAAAAGACAGCCCCGACTCATCCAAAACTGCCCCAGAAAAAGACAGGATGGGCTGTCCAAAACGGGTTGTCTTTTTTTGTTGGCCATTTTTCACTGAAAAAAGACACCGTAAGAAGGGGTTCTGTGGCCAGTTGTCTTTTTTTGAGAAGGAAGAAATGGCCTTAGACCAGGATTTATTTAGTGAGAAAAAAAACTCACTTTGCCCGGACTCGACCCCATGGCCTGGCCCTTAGTAGGCTGGGAGGTTGCCCACTAGACCACCGGGGCGCTACTGTAGGTAGCTGATTGTTGCACTCGCCCAATCACCAGCGGCATCTACAGCACAGCAGTTGGCCAACGTTTCCTCCGGCCTCAAAAAAGGTTGGCGAGAGAGAACTGCTGGGGGTGCCACACCTCCCAATCCCCTCACACATGTGTGGGATGGACTCGCGGCATCATGTGTGAATTTGCAATGAGATGTCTCCGATGGCACCACTCAACGATGCACATACACCACAACAAAGCCGCTCGCAAATCAACGGCTGCAAAACTCATCGACACCGCTTGATTGTGCCAAACCTCCGGTCAAGGCTTCCGCGAATACCTGCGAAAATATTGGCGGCGTGGCGAGACAGCGAGCTAAACGTCAACGATCGGGAGATCGGCGATCGGCCATAAGTTTTCCAAATCGACTTCCCGACGAGACAAAAGTCGACTCTCTTTCTCGCACGTGGGGACACAACGTGTGATTTTCCGGGAACATGTCCTTGGCTGCGGCGAGTTTGGGCTGCGGCTGCGATGTCATGTTACGCACAGACTTACTAAGGAAGAGCGTGCGAGCAAAACAACAGGCACCCAACCTACATGTAATAGAGATAACTCAGATAGGCAAGGCGAACGGCTCAACGCACGAAAGGTAGACAGACCGTACTTAGATTTAGGCCTAACGCGCAACGTCAGTGGGGTGTTCACACCACATGGTGACAACGAGCAGGCATTTCTTGGTAGCAGGTGTTGAACATGAGTACAGAGAGAAGATAATTAGCAACGGCGCCCACGACAGGAATAGCCATATATCACCGACTATGTATCTGACTAACAGAAAACGAACGTTGAATGCAGCATGCGCCACACATCATGCGTACAGCGAGCGTGACAACGGACCAAGGATCCAAGGATACTGCTCACCACCCACCTGGAAAGGGCCGCCAAGAGCACCCGATGTCTAACAGCCCTTCGCCTCAGAATCAGCGACAACCCGGCCAGCGGCTTTCCAGTACTCGAAGTCACCTTGGCCTGAATCGCCGTGGCTCCTGCAGCGTGGCTGGTGCACGGGATGATGTTGCTCGGCCACAGCCAAGACAAAGCACGGGCTGCCTCCGCACTCAACAGCACGCGGCCGATCGCTTCAAGCTCGCACAGCTGCTTCTTTGCGGCTTCGCCTCCTTGAGCTTCCTTCTCGCGGACGAAGCTTGCGACCAATGCCTGGGGCGTGGCGTCGAAAATCACCCAAGCGAACTTCTGAGTCTAACTCTCGATGTCGTATCTGCTCCAGCGTCAACCAGCATCCGCACGATCCTGGCAGAGTAAAACTCGCCAAAACCCATACCGTAATGCAAGGGACTTGAGCCGGAAATGTGGCAGATGCTGTTAACGTAAGCCCCGCTACTAGCAGAAGCGTGCTTCTTCTTGTCGTGTTGTTGCAACAGAAATTTCACGGATGCTTCAGCACCACATGCGGCAGCACCGACCAAAGCGTAGCCATTGTCAACCACTCCGACGTCCACTAATATGGCCATGACGTCCATACGTTGGTTCGTGGCACCGCCGCATCCTTCGATCCCAAGGTGCCCAATCATCCGACGTACCACCACAGCGTGTCCGCCTCTTGCTGCCGCATCCAGAGCTACGAGTGGAGGTCCTCCCGGCAACGAATTTGGCGTGGTCAACAAGGGGTTAGCGTTGGCACCAAGGAGCACCTCGACAATGTCCAGCTGACCGTCCGACGCTGCGGCGGACAGTGCTGTCGCTCCGCTGTGGTGACGTCTGTCGACATTAACGCCTGCTTTGACCATCGCTCTCATCACCTCCAAGTGCCCTCCTCCCATAGCCAGTTGGAGCGGTGTGGCGCTTTGGTATCTCTTTTCGAGATTGGCCCCTGCGGTGATCAGCATCTCGCGGTCATGGCCAGGTTCTCGGAGGCAGCGGAAATATGAAGAGCAGTGATGCCCGTACCACCTTTTCTTGACACGTCAGCACCTCTGTCTAGAAGAAGTGTGACAACGCGGGAGTGACCGTGTACTACGGCGATCATGAGAGGAGTGAAGCCGTTCGGATCGCCCCTAGTGATATCGAACCCCCTTGCAACCAGGGCGTCTAAATGATCACATGTGGTGAATTCAGTCGCTGCCCTGTGAAGACCATTCTCGGGGCCTGTAGAACACTGGAGGGGAGACTGCATGGCCATGTTGTTGGCTGCAGATATAAGTTGGTCGGTGCAAGAGAGCTTACTGTAGATCAATCAGAGTCAATCCACTGTGTGGGTGGGGCGGGCTAGCGCGAGCGAAGCGCTGCAGGCTTGCGGGCTAACTACAGGGGCCCGCTGGATGGCGGTCGTGTTTGATGTGGGGGTTGCTTAATAATCGCCACACACAGTCCCGCGAACAAAATATCGAGGCAAAGGGACGCAGTAGGACGAAAGAACGTCGCCACCGTCCGTGCTCGCCACCGCCACCGGAATTCCCACCACGAACTACAACAACATGATTGGCACGACCACTCTCTGGGATATTTGCCAACGGGTATCAACTTTATTTCAGGGAGTAAGAACCGCTCTGCGGAGCGTTTGTTTCGTCCCACTATTTTTTCGACCGGTGGATGCAGAGGTGATGGAGCGGTTTTGTTGTGGTTTGTGGTATATTTAATCACGGAGCTGAGCGGTTCAAACCACCCTTCTCCGCCCCGCTCCGTAGAAAAAATCGCTCCGTGAACAAGCGCCCACCTATCCTTCACAAACATACCCCTTCCCAAAAAGGTGCGGGGAACATTGTTCATTATTACAACTGCAGGGCTCGTGGCACCTAAAAAGAGAAATAAATGTGAGGGTGTTACAGCAGTACTTCTCTCACTTGCGGCGCCACGTACACCACGACTTGCCACGTGCCTTGTTCGAATACCCACGTCTCCACCAACGGCGTTTACCGCAAATCACCACAAGACACTCAGAAAGACAAACGCCTACTGCGTGGGTCGGGTAGGAAGAAGCCAAACACGCACGTGGCACGGAAACCTACCCGATTTGTTCTCTTTCTGTATCGCGTGTGGTCGTGAAGAACATCTTCAACACGAACGTTGGTCAGCAAGGAATCACAAACCATCAACGACATGGATGTTCGCTCTTTTGCCCACAGGAAACTCCTGCTGTGCACACCGAGCGGTGCACGCGGCCACTTTATAGTATTGGGAGCCGCTCGTCGATGCGCGACAACACTCACTGTTTGCGGTGGGAACCAAATCTCAGTGGCGCAATCGCGTGAAATATCGCCGTGCTGCCTTGCAAGTGCTACATAAGCACATTCACGCAGCATCGCTTCCGCCCGTCCGCTCCACCAGAAAAATCCTCACCACGAAATACTGGAAGCCAAGAGATACTGCTGCTTCGGGCACATATGTTAGCTCGGGGGTGGGTGGGGGGGTAGCTCTCCGACCGCAACTCCAGCCGTACTAATTGTAAGTTTTTGCCACTGCGGCTTGGCAAGCGCAAGTTGGACATTTACGTGTGCCGGGTGTACTACGTCGTCAAGAGAAACTGCTTTAAGAAAAGCACCCGCATCCCTAAAAAGTCGGGACGGAGCACGCCGGGTTCTCACCGGACCAGCACCACGGAAAACACCGAAAATTTCGTGCGAAGTACTGCTCGTAGCGACTGGTGGACCGTCCCACCTGCCCAAAAGACGCGGCGCGCAACGGAACTACAGTACACAGCGAAAATCGTCGAGTGTGACGTGTAGACACGATCCACTAACAACCTCCTCGATTCGGTACATTCTCGGCGTCCAGTGTGCCCTGCTACACAAGGTGTTTGGCTAGCCTACTCCCCGCGGACAGACGAAAACGATGTCTGCCGATCGAAAGAAAGCTGGGTGTCCCTCTGCGTTAGCTTGACATTTGGCCCGCACACATTTCAACCCTTGATCACTCATGGTGGTGCTTCGGGTGTACGCAAAACAAAGGCATTTCACAGAGGTCCAGTCAACGGCGACCGAGACAGCTGCAACAGATTCTTGAGTTGGTACAACCCTTCACTAAATACCGGGAATAAAAAAAACCAGCAACCGATGCAACTCGCTAACCACCGCCACAAAAGCCTTTTTTTACATGTCCCCCGCCTACCTTTCTCCCAACGGAGAAATTATCGTTGACCATGGGGTGCGCTACGTGGCCGTACTTGCCAAACCTAACCCAGATCCAGCCGCCACCGTAAACAAATCACACCCTAACATCATTCGCTGTTTTTCTAACTGCTTTTCGACGCGACCCCCGGGGCGGCTGCAGGCGGCGGCGTCGGCAGCAGCGGCCTTGCGGGCTGCGCACCCAAGCGGTGCGGGTCCATAGAAGCATAGTACGGCGCCGGAGGGGGGCCGGGGGGCGGCCCCGGCGGAGGACCGGGGGGGGGACCCCGCCTCCCGCCGCCGCCATAACTGCCCCCGCCGCTGCCCCTCACCGGGCCGTACGAAGGGATCGGGGGGCCTCGGGTGTGGTGATGTTGGCCGGCGGCGCCGCCGTTGTTGTTGTACGTCGGCAGTCGGGGGCCCGGGGGCGGGGCGTACTGCCCCCGTCCCGCAGGTGCTACCGCGGGCTGCTGCTGCTGCTGCGGGTAGGCGGACGGCGGCGGCGGCTGGTACCCCTGTAGCTGCGGCATGGGCGGCATGTGCGGGACGGGGGCAACGGGGGCGCCGGGGGGCAGCCCCGGCACTGGCGGGAGCGAGACCGGCTGGTACGGTGCCGCCTCCGCCTTCTTCTCCGCCCCCGCCCCCGCCGCGCCTCCTGCTTTCGACCCCTCGCCAGCATCGGCGCCGCCCGCCTCGCCTGCAGCTTGCTGCTGCTGCCCACCCTCCTTAGCCTTGCTGCTACCGCTTTCGATCCTGCGGCGGCCGCCGCCTTCAGGGCCGTTGAAGCCCGACGTCCCCGATTCCTCCGAGCGAGTGGCCCAGTTCAACCTCAGCAGCCTGCCCTTGATTACCAGGCACTGTCGCGTGCAAATGCGTCAACGCCGTGCGGGAGAGAGTGTGAAAACAAAGAGCAAGGATGAGGCGGTGAGCTTTCGAGTGTGGAAAGGATGAGAAAATAAACGAGGTTGTGAGGGGGGTGGTGACACCGCAGTAAACAGATTGCGATACCTTGACGAGAGATGCTTCAGTAAAAAAACAGGTAGCCTGGTCGGAGGCTAGAGCATAGCTTTTGTCCGTTGCTCTGTGGAAATCCACCGCAAATCTCCGAGTTCAACTTTCGCCGGTCCGTGCCGTGTTTGGTGGAATGCGCTAGCACCATACCCCTGAGCAGTGCTTGGTGCATAGTCTACATACCTTGTAGAGCTGTTCAGCTGCTGCCTCTGCCGCCTGCCTGGTGGTGAACTGCACAAAGGCGAAGTCCTTGCCGGGCACAATGCGGATGGACCGGAGCTCCCCGAAGCTGTAGAAAGCGTCGCGAAGATCCTGCGAACAGAGAAGGCAATGGCCGAGGAGTGAGTGTGTGGCTCAACTAACTCTTTGCAACAAAGAAACAGAAATGCCGTCTTCAACGTCGCTGTGTCTGGTCCATGCCGTTGCATACTGCACATGTCCAACGGTTCAGACACGGAACACGGAACATTTCAGCTGCCGAGCGCTCATTTCGAAGGGTGCCGCGAGAAAATAAACCACTAGCGCGCGCAAGAGTAGAGGTGGTGGCGATCTGGCGGATGCCGTTGACGCCAGGCCGACTACCGCGTACGTTCGGACAGAAAACACGGAAACACAACCAAAGGAGAACTTTCAAAATGTGATTTCGTTGGGACTCTTGGAACGTTCGCAACGCCGGCAGTTGCGTAGGTGGTGGTCAATATGTCAACACCCAGACCTTGCGCCGGAGCTACCAACACAGCCAACGCTTCCGCAAACGCACCCAACCCAGAACCCTACCAAAGGCACCGCCAACACCGCCACAAGACCTCCCCAACACCGCTCAATCTCGGCTACACCACCACGAAAACACACAACACTACCACATCGCCAACGTAAAAACAACGAATCCCGCCGGCAGCACAGCAGAGCCCGAAGCAAGAGGCGCAGCTCGAGCTACACCGCCATCACCACCACGCCAACCCTAAGCAGCAGCATCACCTCCGGCGTGATGTAGTCGGCCATGTTGCCGAGCCAGAGGCTGCTGATCCCCTCGTCCTCGGGGGGCTCCAGCTTCGGGAGGTCGTCCTGCCTGGCCATCATCTTGGCCGCGACGGGGTCGTCCTGGCCGTAGAACCGGTCGCGGATGTTCTGGTGGGCCAGGGGGTCCGCCCTATCTGTTGGCATCTCGTGCCTGCAATAGGTGAATCGGTTAACAACCGTCATAATTCATGGCGCCGAGTGAGAGAGGTGGCGACAAAGGGAAGGCAATCGATAAGCGGTCACGCATGCGGACGGCCACGTGTTCCTTGGTATTCAGGACGGATTGTTGTGATGGTGGCTGGCAATATTGTTACAGTACTGTACGCCGGCCAGCCGATGCAGATACATAGATCACGCGATGTAGATGTGCCAGTGGGCGAATACCAAAACACGGATTGCACCGTCGTGGCCTCATTGTTAGAAAAGCTTACCCATTAGACTACTAAATGTCAGCTGACAGTAGTCTAATGGGCAAGCCTTCCTAGCAAAATATGGGAGGAACGCTTCGTCTCATTCATACGGCGGTGATGCAGAAGTAGTTGACCCAAAAAAATCAACTCAGTAATGATAACAGCGTAGCACCAAGCCGAAACCTGTTGCCCATGGAGGTCAACAGCAACGTCAACTGCAATGCAGAAACCAAAACAGGGCATCGAACTGAGAACTCACAGGAAAGGGCACTTGGCGCCTCGGTTGCACTCTCCCTTAGCGTAAAAGGAGCACTTGTGCGGCTGATTGCGCTTGTAGTAGGGCGTTGACCGGGCCATACGGAGAAGCTGCGTCACAAACAGGCGAACCAAAAAAAGGGGTGGCACAAAAACGAAGTTCAATATCGACTTTCTACCTAGGTAACAGGTAGCACATGAATCAATCCAGCCATCTCCTGCTGTGCGGCGAAACTAGTGCGTGGATGCTGCACTGTCAGGAGCATTCCGCGCGGCGGCCTTCAAACGATACGCGATTGGACTGGACATAGAAACGAATGCATCACCGCAAATTCCCAACACAAATTTGTAGGGCGTAGGGTACCTATAGAGTAGGTAGGACCTACTCTGGATCAAATACGCTAAAATGTGTACCATGTTGGTTCGCTTGTGACCTCAAAATTTGACTACCTTAAAAGGCTTCCAAGAACACGGAGCAAAAAAAGGTGCTGGACAACGATGAGAACATTTTCTAACAAGACAAACAACAACCAAATTCAGTCACGAACACGAACACGACGACGAACCCCCACCACAAAAGTCTTCGACGACGACCCTGCCAGACCGAATACGCTCACCTTCTGGTTGAGGGGCTTGTTGCTGTAGGGGTTGCCGCCCTCCGCCAGCTGCTTCTCGTGCACCTGCGTCATGAACTCGCGGTTGGCGTCGCTGCCGGGCACCTCCAGCCTGTCCTCCTCAGCCAGGAACTTGTCACGCACCTCCACCGGCAGTCCTGGCAAAAAACATATTTGCGGGGTGGTGGGAGGTTTGTTGAAAAGGATACTTTGCTTTTGGTCGCTTCGAGATGAGCAGGTCCGATGCCAACGGAGTCAAGACGGCGAGCTGTCGACAGCGGCAGTAAGAGAGAAGCCCTCACAGCACTGCGTACTCGTCTACAATACATGTCTGTCCGGTTGTATGCAAGTCCAAGGATAGCCCACGAGGCCGGCGACACTCGGGCCGATGGAATGCGAAAGTCGGGAGATATTATTATGCGTTGGAAGAGCGACAGGACTCCGTGACAGATTGCCCGAGACCCAAACTTTTTTCCTGGCCCCTGCTGTTGCTGTTGCCGTTGTGCACACCAGAAACAGTTCCGATCTTTACCTTCCGTGGTCGCAGGCTGACCAATTACCCCAGAGTAGGTGCTTCATATGTTGCATATGAGTTATCGAACAACATCCTCAGCATGCCGCAATCCTGGCTCGCACTGCACTGCACTCACCGTACTGCAGGTCGAGGACGCATGTTTGGCAGGCGTTTTTAAGCTTGGCGCACGTCTGGCATAGCTGGGTGCTCTTGATGCGCCCTGTTGTCCCGGCCTTCCAGCGAAAAACTGACGAAAAACAACAAGCACGTGCAACGGCGGAGAACACATTTGTAACCACTTGGAACAATCTTGAACGGACAAACCCAGGCACAGCAGTCTTGCCATCATCCTCACAAATACCACAACAGTAGTAAACCAAAGGAGTGCCATCAACGTTGTCGGCTGCATGGCAACTGCTATGCAGGTACCGCTATGCGGATAGGGCGAGGTGGCTGCCCACCAGTTCCGTGAGCGCCCTCAAGGGAAGCACTTGGTGACTTCTTCACACCGGCGCAGCTCAAGCAAGCGCCGCAGGAAGGGTGGGCCTTCAGCAAGGGGGACCCTCGTCTGTGATATCCTCCTCCTTTGTACACATGTCGGATTGGCAGACATTTTCCAAATTTCTATCTCCTTTTTCTCGCATTCTCCTTACGTTTCCTTGTAACGCACCGCCATCAGTACTGCTGTGTTATACGGATAATATTTCAGGTGGCTCGTGTCCGGATAGCATAGACGCGCCACTGCTGCGGCTAGGAGCAAACCGCCTCAGACGGAGCTAGCTGTACACACCAAATCGTCCCACACTGCCTACAATTGTATCGAGTGCGTAGACTTGTATAGGGCCAAGAACCGACCGCAGAGCCGATCCCAGTTGGTCTTGAAGACAAAAACAGCGGTAATACCACAACAACGGCCCAATTACAAAGGTCAAGCTACAAGAGAGCGGAAAGCTACCGCAAGGGGGGCGCTGGAGGGGCAGTGATCATGGGTGCCTCACCCACGAGAGTCGCCCTGCACAAGGTTACAAGTGGCACGTACTGCTGTATCTGAACAGAGAGAGAGAAATATCCCCATTTGTGCACACACGTTGTAATACGAAAAGCGGCGCGTACCGGTGTAGGGTCTCTCGCAGATCTTGCACGCTTTCCCGTGCGGCTCCTTGGTCATCCGTACGTAGGGGTTGTCCCCTAGGCATGTCTCGCACACGATCGGGAAGTCCGACTCCTCCCACGCCTTCTTGTTGTTGGCTCCCTTGAGCTGGTACCCCCGCTCGCCCATGGCTCTCCTCGAGTCTTCAAAAGCAGCCGCTTCTGCACCAAGCCTTTCCCCAGGATTCCCGAGAAAATAACCACGTCGAACAGGACCTTATGCAAAAGATCGCCTTATCAGGCTAAAGGTAGTGCAGCACACTCGGCGCGCCAACCCTTCTCCAGTCGGCAGCAATGGTCTGGCTTTGATCGGGCGCGGGGAGCGCGTGAGGCAACGCAAACTGGAATCCTCAGAAAAGCATACCTTCAAGCAAGTTGACATGAACTCGCGCAACCCCCGGAACAACGACGAACGCTCCGCACAACAAACCGCACACAGCACAGCAGTCCGTGTGTGAACCACTCTGCCTGCTGCTGCTCAGCTGTATCAACGCCGTTCAAACTTTATCTCAGGATCTGCGGGCTGTACGTGCTACTACTGACGGTGAGAATGGCGTTCAATTGCGACCACAAGATCCTATCTCTGTGTACAGTTTTACAGCAGTTTTTCAGCACAATCACGCAGATTGATGTTGAATTTTGACCGAATTTTCTATTTGGTGTGCCGGCTTGATCTGTCCGACACCAACACGCCGGCAGCAACAAATCATAAAGGTCCATTGTTTAGGTGCTACTGTCGTGGATCCTGCTGTGTAGCGGCTGCATACCTTTCTGCTCTCTGGTTTTGCATTTTTGCTACAGCAGTAGCAAAGTTGGAGAACAACTACAGCAACAAATTCGGTAAAAAGGAGGAAAGAGAGTATCGGCGCTCGTCGCCCTCGATGATGAGGCTGCAAGCCTTTCATAGATTTGAAGTACATGCAGCACAACATGCCGATCTGGTCGAGTTGTGTGTGACCATCGATGGTAATTTGTGTCCTTTCGATTACAGACATACAGCCCCCTTGAGTCCTGCCGCCATCCAAGCGTTGACTTCTAGAAAGAGGCGTTATGACTCCATTCTATCCGTCGGTCCCCTTGCGTATACATACCATTTATTTAGGCCCCCGACACATTATTGAAGCAGCGCCAAGAAGGAGAGAGGCACCAGGACATCATGTCAGTGGCGGATGCCCCTGCGATAGAGGTGGCAGCGGCGGCCCCGGTGCAAGCAATTGACGGGCAAGAGGGGGACCCGGTGAGTGGGTCGCGAAGCATAGTGTACATCCAACAGTTCAGAAACTGGGTATTCTGGACATCAAACGATCGCTTGCAAGAGTTCAAGTGTCTTAGAAATGTCGCTGGGAACACATGCATCAGTTTTGGATGCCGGGTACACAACCCGGTCGGTTAAGTTTGCTTCAGATATCTAGGAAAATCGAGACCATTCCGATCTTGGGATGTTTTGCGATCTCCGCAGCATGCAGTAGCAATCGATCTTGGTTGGAAACCCTGGGGATAATGCCGCGTCTACCCCCTCCGTATCACCCCCCACACACAAGTCGGGAGATCGCCCAAAGCTTCCTGGTCCTGACCTCTGAGAATCGCCCGAGCGATTCCTGATCTTTAGATACAGCTGTAGCACAGCAAGATACCACGAAACGCAAGCTGCTCTGCCCTTATGTAGGCTACAGATGGTGTTCTACGATTTACGTGTCGACTACTGCCGGCTTGGCTTGGGAACGCGCGTCCCCGTGATACTCGAACGTTACCACGGTGGGCTGGGCGACTTCAGCTGTTACGGGTTTCGTGTCTGCCCTTGTTGGCCATTGCGATTACCCTATCCTCTGCGTGACTGAACGTGGTAACGTTCGAGTGTCACGGGGACGAGTGTTCCCAAGCCAAGCCAGCAGTAGTCGACACGTAGATCGTAGAGCACCATCTGTAGCCTGCAAAAGGACAAGGTAGCTTGCGTTTCGTGGTATCTTGCTGTGCTACAGCTATATTGTGTCTGCCCGTTGACCATGGCGATTACCCTACTCTCTGCGTGACAGCAAGTAACGCTTTCGTTCATTCACTTGGGCGAGATATTCACGGGCGGAGGAGGTACATCCAGTCTGTATCGGTAGCATTTTCAGGTTTTCTCACGCGGTATGGTTTACTCGTGACATTTCATGTGCAACACAGAAAGCGCTTTCTACCGCGGCTTAGTCTTGACTGCTTTACAATCGACCCTCGACAACCTTAATTCGATTCTATCCATGCAGGTGGAGCCTTACTTTTGGGAGGAAGGGGGTAACCCCAACGTGGACTGGTGGGCGAAAGTCCGACACTCACTGCACTTTGGAGGGGTCAAAGCGGTCGCAGGGGCGGAGGCTGTTGGGGAGGTAAAGGGTAGGAATTAACCTGGCGCGAGGCTGCAGCTCGTTGGGTCGTGCAATGGATCGCACCGCTGCCTATGTACCTCCCCAAGCCTTAGATGTCTGGGGTACTCTGCCCGCTTCTGACCAGAACCTAACATTTTTTTAGTTGATTCGCTTGTTTGCTACGAGCGCTTCGATTCGATGCATTGGTCGTTTCCTCTGGTGGAGCGCATGTGCTACTTTAATTATCGGTTGCTCGTCCTGTCTTGACCGCCCTACCGTACACGAGATGCGACTTTTGATACCGCCTGCAGTGGACCGTTGGCTCTGTTCATGTACGCTGCCAAACACCACTTTTCATGACTCGCATCGCTGCCACCCGTAGCGCCTTAACGTCCCATCGAGTGTATTTCAGCGTGTTGGTTTCCCAAACGCCTGCGGTCACACAGGACCCAACTGACCCCGTACATGCGCTTGCATACCATTTTCATCCTCTCTCCTGTAACGCGCATCATTTCTTGTATCGCTCGGAAAAAAAATGCGATCGCTATTTCTCATAGGTGGTGGCCAATACGCTGGGCTTGAACGATTCCAAGTATCAATACGTTATCGACGCACTTGAGGCGGACGAAATTCGCGAAAAGCGGGAGCAAAGGGACGAAGAAGACAGAAGACAGGTGAGTTGCAGCTCCGGCGATGCTGAGTGTTTGTGACGCTGTCGATGCAGGTGTAACGAAATGTTGAAGTATATTGCATGTAGTGGTTGCCGTGATGGGCGAAGACTATTGTACACAGGGTGTCTTTTCAGGGCTGAGTTTTTTTGTCGGGACCGTGCAGTCTTTGATCCAGAACAACATCGAAATTTGTGGTACATTTCCAAGCCCGTGATCAAAATGTTAGAAAAATACACTGTTCACCTTAAAGAATAAATTGTGCTGTTGGCATCTCACCCCACCCCTTCCTGTGACGACGTTTTCCTTGTCCTACGCCGCACCCGGAAGATGGCGCTCGAAGAAGAGGCCGCGAAAGCAAGGGAGCGCCGGGAGCAGCAGGACGGAGAAGTCAAGCAGGACTCGGGAGCGATAGAGTTGGGAGACACCAGGCTCTCCCTGCCCGACAGCAGCGGCGAGACGGCGCTCCCCGAGGGATCGACAGCGTAGACTGGGATATTGAATGTCACCTTGCGGAACTGCCGCAACGCCATACAAGTTGTCGTGAGAGTCGTGTCAAGAATCGGCCAGATGCATGAGTTTGGATCTTGCGGGGTGCGCAACGCAGTCACGTGTCGGGGCCATAATGTAAGTATTTATATGTGCCCCAAGTTTGGTATGAATTTGTTTCTCGCACGATGCACATGAGACATGAGAGCGAGACGAGGCGCGTCTTTGAATGTCGCATGCTGTCCATCTTGGAGCTTGGCTCCAACGGCCGATGTTGTTATGGGGTTTGAGTGGAAGAATCTGGGCGGTATAGATACTAATCCAGAAATGAGTGCCAGTTCATGACGGGAGCTGCAAGTCCCGCGGGTGGAATCATCAGATGAGGCTTAAACGGCCCCTCCCTGCAGGAGGCACCGCCCGTGATGTTCGGTCTACCAACGAGAGCAAGGCAATAGCAAGCACTGATGTTCACAGGTTACTTAAATCAATAAGTGAGTGCGATGAAGGTCTTGGGGGTTGCTACCGAGGTTAGTACTCACAACATTTGGCTTCCGCTTGAGTTAATAATTGTCATACTCTTTCGAAAGGAAAGTGCCTCAACTTTATGTTTTTGCCGAAAAGAGAGCAAGGAAAGGAGTTGCGCCGAAGACACCGAGGGCGTTCACATGATGACCAGCACTGTTGATACTTTTCATCGAAAGCGCTCTCCTGACTGCATGTGAACAAACAAGGAGTTCCAGGAATCATACCTGACCGTGGGGCTCTACACAGATAGTTTAGAGGCTCCGACGAAGTGGCCAGAGGGTTTACTCGGAGGGAGCACCCCGCCAGGCAGCTTTCAAACGCCGCTGCACTGCACCGCCACCACCGAGTATGGCGGAGATCTGCTTTTTTTCACCACTTCCGTCTGGAGGCCAAGATAGCATGCAGGGGGGTTGTTTTGCGGTACATCAATAGAACCCCCCTATTCTAGAATATCCTGGCCTCCGCTCTCACACCATCAAACACATCTATGCATGCATATTGTCTGCTGCTGAAGCACTTCAACGAACGATTGTTGTGAAACCTCACGTCGTCGTTCGGTACTGAAAGATTTTGAAACAAGTAGAACATCAACATGGTTTGGGAACACCCGCGGCAGCGGCGAACGAGATGAGAGGGGTCCAGCAGGCAAGACGTCAGGATCACTGTGGTGGTGCCATACTTTTCAAGCCCTCTGATGTTGAGTGGAATCTCTGTGGGAGCGAAACCGGCGGCAGCGACGACCTCGACGGGGTCAATCTGAGATTTTGTGTGGAGACCACGGATCGGATGGATACAATCAATTCGGCAGATCTCGGTTCAATTATTTCATTTCGTGAGGCGTACGTCCATTGAGGGCACTTTCGTTAGCTGAATGTGGTTACGTAGATGCATGTCACGAGAGCGTTGGGGTGTGCTCCTAGACTGCTCAAGAGAGCGGGTGAAGTGGCAGTCGTGCATGGTTGGTGGTTGGTGATCGGAAGGTTGGGTGGGGGGGGGGTCGTTGGGGGTTTCCATCGGGTTCGGGAGGGATGTTGAAGAAAGATTGAACCGACCGGAGGCAGAGGAGCAGAGAGCAGAGAGGCAAGACTCGAATCCATTTGAGTCCGTGAACCCACCTACCACTGATCGAGAGGGAAGGAGGAGAGCACTGTTGTGGTAGGTGAACACGATGCGTGTGGTTGTCTTGCTGTCTCCAGCCAAAACGCTCAACTGGGCAACATCGCCAGCCTCTCTGGCGGAGTTATGGAGCCAACCAAAGCTGCTCCAGGCGGCCGATCCTGTCGTCGAGGTGTGAATGGTTTATGCATGCAAGACAGGGCTGCATACCATGGATGCATACATTCACACATTCACTGTGCGCACAGCAGTAAGCTGTTTTGCCGCTACTGATACCACGAGATATTGACGGGGTGTACGTTAAGATTGACCCGTTGCAGAAGTGTTGTATCAATGTGGTCCTTTCGTCCCTCCCGCAGGAGTCATGTTGTGAAGCCTAAGTCTTTCATAGTGTGTAAAGTCTCACCAACTTTCTGTAACTGCTACCATGGTATGCATCAGCCATGTAGTACTGCTGTAGTACACCAGTTGTGCTACATTCGCAGCAAAACTCATGCAATTCAGTGATATTTGTACGTGTAAGTACAAAGGAGTGGCCCTCACTGGCCACTTGTGGGGGGAACGATAACGATCACATGTACCCCAGCAGTAGCGGGGCCCTATTGTATTGAGGAAACTACTGCTGTAGACAGAGATCGATCGGGAGCATGGATGAAGCCGCACATGGCGAAATCCTCGTCGACCCCCGTGATGGTCGAACAAGATGCCTCCCCTCACATGGTGCAGCCGCGTTCATCCAAGCAAGATTTTGGCGCGTCGCGAGAGTGCCGGGAGCAACGCTTCGTCCAACGCAGGAGACACGATGTTGGAGCCGCACTCGACGAAACCATGGTTGATCCCTTATCAGTTTTGAAGGGAAAACGTTGCGGCCCTCTCGTAAAGTTTAGCGGTGCTGGGTCAATCCGTGGTCGTGGCAGAAAGGGGAGTTCGCGGCCCTCTCTATCCATACAACCTTGAACACTCGCGGCTTCTCGCAGCAATAGGACGAGGCAGTTTGATACCCTTCTGTTAGGGGAGTCCTACGTGCTAATCAAATCTTCCAGCTACATACTCGCGACGGGCACCGGGAGCTCTGCGTGCGTGTTTCCGCACACACCTCTTGTGTCTGAACAGGGCGGGTAGGCCCCCTTTCGTGTGTACCCCTCAACAACCGAAAAAAATTGAGTCGGCTACACCCCGGGAGTCTAGTTTTTTATTTCTGACGCAAGGTGTTGCATACACTTATCCCCTCCATGCTACCACAGCCATTTCTCCTTTACAGCTGCCCCGTGGCTGGCCGATGATCTGGTTTTGCAGGTCATGCGAAAGAAGAAGAAGGCAGATCTGAAGAAATTGATGTCAATTAGCGACAACATTGCCGACTTGAACGTGGAGCGATTCAAGAAGTTCCTGGGTTCGTCCGAGGTGGAAAAAATGTCTACGGCAGTCGACCTGGTGGCAGATGTCGCCCGTCCGGCGGTACGTGTATGCCTCAGTGTATTCACACACTTCCTTCACATTGTTGCCCTTCTGAGTTGTTGTTCTGCTTTGTCGGATTTCGGCCGTAATTCATGAGTGGAATTTCGGCCGTATTTCAAAGAGTGGACACTTTTTACCCGGATTGTCGACAGCGCAGAACACACCTTTTTAAGAAGAAAGCACAACAACGTCAGCGTGTTAACTCTCCTCAGGCGTTGGTGTTCGACGGGCCGGCATACCGCGGCATGGACGCGGCAACGTTTTCGGAGGAGGACTGGGCTTTCGGTGCGAGGTCGGTACGGCTGCTCTCCGGGTTATATGGTGTTCTGCGCCCGACCGACTTGATTCAGCCCTATCGCCTCGAAATGGGATCGAGGTGGGTGGGTGGGATCTTTAAACGCTTTGCGGCCATCCCGTCGTAGTCAGTTGCAGGGTTACGGGCTTGGATGTCGAGTGCTCACTTAGCGGGCTAGCGTTGTACGGTTACCGGCGGTGAGCTATTCTCATGGGTGAACTTTGAGCCGTCGTTCACTCGTGGCGTGCATATGCATATGTAGCTGCGTTGTTTTGTGCTTCAGCTCTACCAGATGTGTAGCAGTTTGCGCGTTGTTATCGTCCTTCGCATTGAGCTACTTGTTGGGTTCGACCTGACTCGATATGGCTTGAGGCGAAGGGTGACCTACCACGCCAATCATCGCTGCAGTTTGTACCACCACTTCTTTACTCGCAACCCTCCCCCATCTTTCCCTTGTGTGAAAAGGGTGGCGGTAGCGGGGATGAAAGATCTGTATGAGTACTGGAAGGGAGATATTGCGCAATGTATCCTTGAAGACATCCAAGGGGAGGGCTCCGTCAAGAGTGGCACCGACGAGTTTTTGGTCGTCAACGTGGCGTCGCAGGAGGTCAGAGAAAAGGTCGTGGGTGCAGGTACATTGCTGCTTCCCACGTTTAAGCGGCTTCATGCAGGCGTGTGTTCGAGTGAGATGCACAGCGGTACCATGATAGCACTGCCACCATACCAACCGTTTGAGCCTCTCCTGTGCGTTTGGCTCCGACTAGTTTGATGTTCGAATGCTGGGGGCTGCGAGTGAAACCAACACTTAAGACGCCTGAAAGGTTCCAATTTTAGCAGATATCCACTTGGCGGAACTAGTCCCAACGTATTATGCGGGGTGCGCATTCTGTACACCCGATGGTCGGAGGTGATCCCCACAATTCTACCCTTCAGTACTTTCCCCGTACGAGGTTAATTCGTGTTTACGATTCCAACTTCTTGGCTTGGGATATCATGCGCCGGAAAAAACGCTGAGGCGTGGTCTTTTGTGGCTGGGTTTGGTGTTGACTTTGTGTTTCTGGCTGCACGTTTTCCTATACCCAGTATTCCAAAGCTGTGGACTTCGATCAGCTCGAAAGCGCAGGCGGAAAAGTCGTGACGTGCGTGTTCAAGGACGATGGACGAGTGCTCTCGGTGTTCGCGAAGCGAGCCAGAGGGCTGCTTGCTCGCCACGTCGTCGTCAACCGAGCCAAGGATATCGCCGACCTAGAGTCGTTCTCGGCCGAAGGCTATCGCCTTGACCGATCGCAATGCGGCGATGGCCTTCTTGTGTTTACCCGAAGCAAAGCCCAACGTGCTGCACCAACAAAGCCAACGATGGCAGCAAAGACACAAGCTAAGCCAAAAGGAAAGGGGAAAGCTAAGGCAGAGGCGGCACCGGAAGCGAAGGTCCCATCCACCGCAGCACGGGGAAAGAAGCGAGCAGCCGCTGGTGCTGGTGCTGGTGCCACGAAAAAGAAAGCCACCACAGCTACGGGTGCTAGCGCCACAAGCGGCAAGCGAGGAGCACCATCCGCGGGAGGGAAACGTGCCTCCAAGGCCAAATCCAAGAAGGCGTGACGCTTCATGAATCTGAAAAAGGCAACAAAGGTGACGTTTGTGCACGAGACTGTGGGGACGAGATAAAATGGCTGGCGTCATACGGTTCACGCGCCTTGTCAAGGACCGCTCCACAAGGACCGCCCCAGATAGTAGCTGGGCAGAAGATAGCCAACAGGAAGCAGCTGTCCTTCGCACTGTGTCAAATTTGTCGGGTAGGTGTACAGGAGAACGGTAGGAGGAACCTAACTCGTACCGCTGTCTTCGAGTATGGAACATCCTCGCGGCATGTACTGCCATCTTGCACCTCCGAATACCGCCGTGCCCTAGTCCTGTACCTTAATTTGTCCCGCCCCTGCCCGACCCCGTAGCCCCTTCCCAAGTCATAGTGTACATGAGGAGAGGGGACCCTAGCCAAGAGAAAAATGAATTGTGAGGTTTGTCGAGTTTGTTGTGACGACAGCACGGTCGCAGAACCAGGATAGTAAGTGGCACGCCACAAACAGCCAAGGAGCAAGACTTGCAAAGTGCGATTAATTGTACAATATGGGAAGCTGTGGTTGACATTTAGACACTATTGGGCGACACGGTATACACCGGAATAGATAGAGAGGTCTGAGGAGACGAGTAAGGGATCCCCCAGTCGGCCTGTGTACCTCACAGCCCCCTCATACCCCACACCCGTGTGTGTATAGCTTAATCAAGGGGGGAGGACATATTTGCGGCGTGGTGATGGCGGCTTGCCCCTTTCTTATGGCCGCGGACCGTGCAACGTTGCGAGAGGTAGAGCAGACAAGGGGTCTAGGCCCAGACAGAACGGAGCCCCCATTGTTTCCTGCATAGAGCTTGCTGCTTGATGATGGTTGCCAGTGTGTCATGTATCTGCATTGAGGCCAGCTGTTAACGACCTTGGGGACTCTTTTGTCATATCGTCTTCGGAAGGAGTCTGAATCATTGGCGCCCACGTTGAGAGGGAGGGAGGAAGGGGGCGAGAGAGAGAGAGAGAGAGAGAGAGAGAGAGAGAGAGAGAGAGAGAACGGCAGAGAAACCCTAATACCCAAAGGGAAGCCAGCAATAACGCCGGAATCACAACTTGGCTACAGGATCCGTCTGTACGGAATTGAGCCTCGGTGGCGAACCCAAACGGATAATCTCCACTGGGGGCCTCCATCGGATAGCAGGGCTCCACGTTGATCATCCATCAAACATCGTCGTTCAAGACGAGACTCGCACGTTCCGCGTCGAGGTTGAGAGTTTGTGGGTCTAGGACCCGTTCTAATACAAACGAAAATCCCATGAGTTATGACGCATGCACAAGCTCAAAGGCAATTCGGTCGTACTTGAGTCTGTGTTCGAATCGGTTCTCAACTCGGCGAATTTGGTACCGACTCCGATTCCAACAAGGTTTTATCACCGAAATATTGACCGAAAATTTCTACAACAACACGCAACGACAAAACTATCACCACGTGGTGGTATTGGAGTGGAGGCCGGACATATTTATCAACCTGCCCCAGAACCATGACAATCTGTGATGCAGCCAAGCAAACGCATAAAATAGAACCACAAGACATGATACTTACAACACAGCGAAACCAAACACGACAAGGCCTACACTACGGATATCCATGAATCGCAATACTCTTGCAAGTCTAGCACGGAACGGATTAAAGTCTACATTCTAGGGGGCACAAGAGAGCCGTCCACCGTACCAACGCCTGACCGGCAATTGAGATTGATGGCAACACAATCAGTGACCCGAGATGCACCCGGCGCCACATACACGTACGAGGATGCCTTCAAAGCTTTCTGCCTTGCTGTTAAACAGGAATATACAGATCCGCCACACCAATTGCCTCCTCTATGAACATGCGGGCAACTCGGTAGCCTTGCCCGAGTGACATACCAATATCCCTGAGCAACTCGTCATGCGGCAATATATCCTTTCAAGTGTCCCGTCTGCAAAACCCGTCCCTTCCAGGACACCCATATCAAATGTTCCAAAAAAAGCGCAACCTCGAACTGGCCCGACCGGGTCGAAAGTCGAGATCGAAATACTATGTGCAACATTGCTCTCCGCGCCCACGGGGCAAAATTGGCAAGTCACGTACCTGGTCGACAACATCACAGCGGGGTCAACACCGCGATCACAGTCACCAACACACGTCTGGAAAACGAACTTTTGTAAATCCAGCTTTGGCCCCGGCGGAAAAAGTATTTTTTTGCGAATATTTAGGCATTCTTCTTGGTCCCGGCAGTTCTTGCCTTTGTGGTGGAGGCCTTGTCTTCGGTCAGTAGGCCCGGTTCAAGCTGTACACATAGAGAGGAACAGTCGATTGCCCGTTAACAAGCAAACGAGAGAGGCAGTGACGTTGGGGCGGAGAACGCGAAATTTGTGTCATTCGTCAGCAGTCTGATACTAGGCCGTTCGCATAATCCATAGCGTAGCAGCCCCGAATTGTGTCTATCGAGACTGGCGCGGTGACGTTTTTCACGCGCTGATTAGATGAGACGATTGCAATGTAGGTATAACAACATCGACTGCTTGGTTCGAACAGAAGCCCTCCGGACGCCTCGGCACGAGCTCTTGCTCAAGAAAAACACATACCCTCTGAACGATGAATACAACTCAGTGAGGCGTGGTGAACAGATACCTTAAGCGAAAAAGGTGTTGCACCCCGGAAAAAAAAGCGGGGGACCGCATACCTGATGAAGGACGAGGCCGGCCACCACGGCGACAAGGCCAGCCACGCTCACCCACACCGGCGCAGAGTTGAACATGGACGAATTGGGAGCGCGGGAGTGCGCGTATAGCACTCCTGCCATCGAAAATATGTTGGCCAACGCCACCTGATAGCGAAGGGTATAGCGTACCCAGAGAGCGTTTGGTTGGCACATGCTTTTGTGGAATTGTCGACGTGTTGCAATTTCTGCTTTCGTTGTTGGTGCCCATTCTCCCAAGCGTGTTCAATTCCGTTGCGGTCCGATCTTGCCACGGGATAAGTAAACGAACAACCCCTTGCTTGAAAATTCGTGCACCTCGGTCAGCTTCTTGCCCGATGTGACTTCGATTGTCCGCTTGCTTACTCTTCCCATGACTTCGTCATTTTCGCTACTCCTTCCTTGTGCTTGGCTAATTCTTCTCTCGTTCAAGGTTGGGAATTCGCCTTCAAGCGGGCCTATCGATCAGCTGCTCAAGGAGTGAGTGTTGCTTTGATGCCGCCAAATAACAGCGAGATGCATGGGTAAGCATGAACGAGACGAATGTATTCGATGATCAGAAGCTATTCACACATCCAAAAGCGACCCTCTGCGGGCTACTCAAGGAACTAAATCTGCGAGGCTGGTGCTCCGATTTAGGTGTCTGCCTTCAGGGAGAAAATCATGATTGCAGATGCGGTACTTTCTACGGTGAAGGGCAAGGATACGGAAGGGCTAGCACAAGGTGGGCAATGCTGTAGCGTGCGCGCGTGCACACACGTTTGCACTTGCACTTTACCTACGCCGATTGGGGTATTGATGGTTTACCTTAGGCCTTATTTCGCTCCCCATTCCCCAACTCCAGATGTTCAAAGCCGCCATTCCCAGGTAAAGAGGGCAAAGTTGCTGTAGGATCACGCCACTGCAAGCGGCACCTTCTCCCGCCTTCGAGTTTTCTCCAAGCAATAGCTTGACAATCTGCACAGATACGAAGGGACAGGAAAGGTATTTGTGTGGTGAACGCGTTGGAAACGGAACACGTTGGAAGCGGTTCGCAAATGAGCGGCTGCACTTGTAGTCCTCCGAACGCTGAGGTGAGCAGTTACAACAGTGGCACCAAGAGCACGTTAGCTTCCGTCAGCATACACACTGGGTAGCGAGGCGCATGAGGCAGACAAAAAAAAATATATATATAGAAGTATATATCGATTGAATCATTCTCCTATACACTAAGAATATGTCGTGTGCTGGGTTGCAGGGAATACAGCAGTTTCGTAAGATTGTGCCGCCGATTTGCAATTCCAAACAAAATACCAGTAGTGCCGTTGCGCATCGATGAAACCCGGGGGACTAGAGTAGAAACTTCTTATTTCGCAGCGGGAAACATCCACAGCAGCTTATCAAGCGTCGATGCAATACTTTACAGCAGTCCAATAGCATCGACAACCAGAATCCGGTCGCTACTACGAGGTACTGCCTCTCTGATAGGGTTACATCGCTCGGCCAATGTCGCGAACGCTTTACAAGGGTCATAAACCACACAAACGAAACAGGTCAGGGTGGTGTTTGCACTGTTGTGTAGCGAGTGGGGGAGGGGTGTCAACCAAATAGTTTCTTCATGCGGGTGTCATAACTGCGTGGCATCTCTCTAGCAGCAATGCGTACGAATCCGTAGCTCTGATGAAGCCTAACACGTTATCGCGCTGCTGCTCACCATCTTCTGAAAGCCAGGGTCAGCGTAAAGCGAGGCTAGCACAATCTGCGCTACCCCGAGCACAGGCAGCACGACCTTCAGCGCTCCCACCATCCTGACGTTGCTACACCTTTTCTGCATTCGGTGAATCAGAGCGAAGGATCATCAGCAGCACCAAGACGGGGACAGAATTAGATACAAGATGGTGAGTCTGGTATTCGGCTGACAGTTCAAACACCATCACTTGGAGTTCTTGGACATGTGGGTCTGCGTATATCTTGGGAATCCGCACTAGCACCTACACGCACGAAACGTAGTCTATAGTTCAAAATTCCACCACCACTTGTAGCGCTGTGCTCTCCGGGAATATTGCATCCATCGCGGCAACGTCGCACCAGGAAACCGCATCAAGGTTTAGTCTATATGTAGTCTAGTCAAGGTACACAGCCGCCGAGCAGGCGGTGAAGGCTCAATACGTCCGTAGATGAGGAGTGCCACCCACGTGAACTGTGAAAAGTACGTGATGGCAACCCGCCCTTTCTGTCTTCCTGTCGCTGTCTCTCTAACTCTCTCCGCTGCTTTCCTTCTTTCCTTCCCAGATGAGACCGCTCCATTCTACAGGACGATTGCTCTCCTCATGGAGTCGATGTTTACCCGGTTTTAAAACAATAAGTTTGCAGTCGAGACTGCTAACCGTGCGACCTCACAACGTGGTGCACTTGCCGCAGTCTACCGTAAAATCACGAACAGCGAACCACGCAAGATGTATCGGCAGCAAGTGTTATTCACCTCTACTACTGCTGCTGTATATAAAACCATACACGCAGATCCCAGCTACGAACACTTCAAGTACATGATTCCACACTGGATCTAGAAGAAATTAAAGTGCCAACACGAGACTGATTCACCGGCAAAGGCTACCCAGTGATTCGCACAGAGTGGAGACAGACGGCACACAAGCAAGAAAACTTATAACAGCACTTGCGCATACATACATATCTAGTGCCGCTGCTAGGTGCCGCCCATGGGACCGAACCGGTGCGGGGGGGTTTCAGAAAACGCGCACTCGCGGAGAGCACCCCCAAACACCAAACAAAATTCCAGCAGCTTTGAACAAGCCTAACCGCACCTACAACGGTGGGAACAGCCCACTAGACGGCTTGCGGTTCACTGTGGAGGTAAACACGCGTATCTACAGCGGCACAGGAAAACTTCGCATCAGAACACCAGCATCATATATGTAGATTCATCGATCGGCTCGCCATCAGGATCCGTGCGCAAATGGGTGTGTCCTTTTGATAACTCTCGTGCGGGTGAGTGTGTGGCATAACCGAGAGGAAGGGAGCACAGCCATTGCCACAAACTCAGCGGCACTCACCTGTGCAAACACAAGTCTTTGGAAAGCCCCGCCTCTCCTACGCACGATCTTCAAGTAGGGATCGAACAGGTCACCTGCCCAGTGGGCACAGCGGGCACCAGCGACGAGGCCCTGGGGGATACGTGGGAAACATGAGCGAAGGGGAGGGACCCCTAGTGGGTTTTCCGTCGGGGGGTCACGTGCCTGGATGGACATGTGTATGCATAGCGCCCGGCGCACCGGTACATCGATTCCAGCTTGGCGTGGTAGTCATGGCGCAACGGGAGGCTAAGAAGGGCAAGCGCACCCTGGTGGTCCTACTGGCATGTCTCTACTCGCTGTCGAGTGATGGATGGGTTATCAAACCTGCACCTGTTGCTCAACGTTTACCCTCGACAAGGTACGCACAGGACACACCAGCAGGTGTTGTGACGACGTAAGTAGAAGTATTGCTACCCGATCTGAAAGGCCTGCGGCAGGATGCGCCTTTCGCTGATTGCCTATTGCCTACTTCGTTGAGTTTATTCGTATTGGAAAGCGAGAGGGAGAGAAAGAGAACTACACGTCATGAAGGGACAACGAAAAGAGAGAGAGACGGTTTACTGCAACATGAGGAGAACCTACACGGTAGTTCCCCCGCACCGCAGTAGTGACTCCGTTCTCGCGTTTGGTATCATCCTGATGGGTGAAAACTTGTGGCCCCGTTGTGTGCTAACAGCTCCCACTTGCGTTTCCGTAGCGGATTTCCGTCTTCTGCATTTTCTTGGTAACGGATTCTTGTTACTTCCAATATCTGCTCGTACACATCCGCATTTCATCGAAGATGAACTCGCCATCGGAGAGCGCTCCTCGTTCCGAGATTATTCTCAAACGGCGACATGTTGAGTGATGCTCCTTGTTGAACGGTACCTGCTGGATACGAACTTAATTTAGAGAATATTCTGTGGAAGTACTCATACCAATGATACCAGCCGGAACAAATCCACCTACAGCAGTACGTAGTAAATCTCTAGAGGTACGTACAGTTCGGATCCCACACTTGAAAATATCTGTTGGTTGGGGCGGCGACAATGTCGCTGCCTTGCACAGAAAAACATAAGCCCCGTCACAGGAGTAACACATCGCACCAGTTGTCTCCTGTGTAACGAAAAATTGCTGGAGCTAGCGGTCATCTGAAAAACGCTGACCATCATGTGCGATTCTCCCGCTCGAGAATTGCGGCGGAACGATCGACGATGCCTGTCGGCCTGTCGGCCTTGTCGGCATCTGATGGTTGGGGCACGGGGGGGTGTCTCGTAGTTGGTACCTTGTGCGCCTGACCTAATGTCGTCGTCGGGACCTCAACCGTTCTCGGCTCTACGAAAGCGTTGGTCATGTGTACGTTTTGAAAATACGAAACCCCCTCTGCTGCAGTTTCCCCTAGCCGTGTAGCCGCCGTCCGTCCCCACAGCAGATATTTCGCCCGCACAGCCTCGTGCGCTTCTGTCTCTCTCTCACCCCACCCCTCAACCATCAATCACTCAAGTGGGGTACTGCCAACTGCTCCTACCACTGGTCGTGCTGCCGCTGCTGTTGACCGCGGCTACTGTTGACCGTGGCTACTGTTGACCGTGCTGATGTTATTTCGCACATACGATTGTAGGTTTCAAACAGCGACCTTACACGCGCGCGAAAGCAGAGGCGGCGATGTTCCTGCTGGGGAGGCTAACTGCCGTGGACAGCGACAACGCGCAGGTCCAGGCCCGAGCTGGCACAGCATCAGCAGCAGCAGTCGAAGCCGCGGCCGGGGTCTAGCGAGTGCCTTAGGGGCAAGACTTCGGATCCCATCCACCCGACGAGGTAACCTCGGGGCTGAGCCCCTCTCGGTCACACTGCTAGAGTTTCGCGGTTACATTGCAATCTCTAGGAACACACCCGCCCCTTGTGGCAGAGTTGCTGCTGCTGCCGCTGCGGTTTGAAAGAAAAGCACCTCCTCCGTGCACGGCCGGGGCAGTCGGGGCAGGCAGCCAAGTACATTGCGATCTGAACCACACTCGCGACACTCGTGTTGTTGGCGCTTGTGTTGGACTCCTCCAAGTTCGAGTTGAGTCACAGCAACAAGGTAGGTATGTTGATCGCTGCACGACACGTCATAGATGCGTACCATCACTGCCGTTGAAATGTTTTTTGTACAAGGCAAGCTTGCCCGTTTGGTGACACAGGGTAGTGTTCACACCAAGTTGCAAACCCGTTCGTTCAAGATTCAAAGCTGGATAGGAGTACAATATGCATAAATCAAATCACCTGTGCAGATGGAAAGAACTTCATTTCCATCCAATGTTGGTGTGATTGTGCTGTATGGCGCGGCATTTCCTCTTCGTGCTCGGTCCTTGGGCCATCTTCTGTAGCAAGGAACTAGGTTTTCAGTCCTTCATCACCCTGGGTGGCGTGGTCTTGTCGATTTTTCCTGCTCCGTTACGCCTGTTTACTTTCCTGTTGCTGCTACTGTTGCCACTCTTGTGGTGCGGGCCTGAGAAACGCCGTCAACACGGCGACTGCCGGCCCACCGCCCGCACTGCGAATCACGCGTTAACACGACCGTCATAACCCCCGTGCAACCTTTTCGTGCTGCACCGAAAACACGCCGCGCACCTGCAGAGTGGCCGATGGCGGCTAGCACACAGAGTGCCGGGGTTGACGTCGGGGTGGCCGGCGCAGAGCACGAAACGCCGGAGGGTGGCTCGTTGTCCGACGCGGACCAAGGGGTCGGATCGAAGGCAACACCTAGCAGCGGCGTTGCTGGTAGCAGCCTGGATCGATTCTTGTTGTTGCTGGGAGAAGACGACACGAAGAAGGTGATGCGGTGTGCCGGAGTTTCCTTCTTCAAACAGAGTACCGCACGAGTAAATTCTCCCACGTACCAAAGTAGGTGTATTGTAGTAGCAGTGTAAAGCGAGAGTTTTCGGCAGCGAGCGTTTGGCTCTCGGCCCAAGTTCAGGCGCAGCTCAAATCGGCATTGTCGTTGCGGCGCCTGCTGCGGTGCTGTGTTCATCCTTAGAGTTTTTTAGCAGATCGCCTTTTGTTCCTCCCCTGCAGCAGTCAGCGAGGGGTTTGCGTCCAGAACGGTGTGCCTCAACTCTGCATCTGCAAGTCCGCATTTCTAGTTCGCGATGTCTTGTTGTTGTTGCTGTTGTTGTTGTTTAGTCGGGCTTGCCGTCCTCAATATTTTCGATTTCCCTGTTGTTTCATGCCATCCCGCCTGTGCCGCCTCCGTGCAGCTTGGCGCTTGGATGTTGTTTGCGCTGGTGCTGTCTAGGCTTCGGTACTTCTACGGGGTGATGTTGGGCACGTTCGTGATGTCCTACATGGGCAACTCCGCGATTGAAGTTTGCATGCGGAAGGGGAACAACTTATTGAAGAGGTGAGTGTTGGCTCGAGATCAAACGGATATTCTCTTAACCACGTTTTTCTCGTCCGACACGCGTTGAAGGGCTTTGTGTCTCTCACACGCAATGGATTTTCGTGTCGGAGATGGTCGCTCCTTTTGCAGTCGGTGTCGTGTGTCGCTTGTCGTCGCTGTTCTGTCTATGGTGCTACCTCCCGAACCCTGATCAGCTGCACTCACTTCTTGTCTCGCTGTGGTTAACACCTGAGGGGCGTGTTTTTGGTGGGAGCAACTGCCAAACCAGCTGCCTCAATGATCGTTGCTTTTTGTTTGTTGGCTGAGGCATTCTGTACATGTAGCAGAAGATGATCGTTGCTTTGTGTTTGTTGGCTGAGGCATTCTGTACAGGTAGCAGAAGTTCCAAATTTGCAATTTCTGCATACGTCTCGCAATCTCACGCGATACTTGATGGGCGAGCTGCAGGGAAGTGATTCACGATTGTGCTGTCTCCACACCTTCTGTTCCCGCCTGTTGCATCGGTTCAATGGCATCACCACTTTCACTTTCCTCAGGTAGTCGAGTTGATGTTGCCCCCTCCCCCCCCCCCACCGACTGTGTTCGTTAAAATTTGCGGTACTACCGTAGGGCGGGTGAACGTCTGGGGTGGAAGCGATTGCCGAAAAAGCTGCCTCGGTCGGGATACGCCTCCGTGTACATCCTGCTGCTGATGACGGTCATCACGTCCCTGACCGTCATCATCGCACCGAGACTCACGGTGCGGTACGCTCTGAGATACAACTACGGCGGTGAAGGTCGACCGCGACACCCAGCCTCGCACTTCGCTTGCACTGTTTTTTTTTCATGAAGTCTCTGGCTTACGATATTTCGAGTCCAACGCAACAGTAGTCAATTTCCATCACATCGGGCGTTTGTCCTAACTTTGGCAACGCGCCGACTTGAGCAACAGCAATGCAAACCACAAGTACGCAACGTTTTAACAGTGTTTTCTGCTGGCCCCAGTCTACGTATTCGCAGACCCCAGTCTACATATTTGCTGTGTATTCGTTTGCTCCTGGCTGCAAGTAGCTACTGTTCGTCTGGCCCTGCCGCGCGGCAGGTTCGCTGTGCTGCTTCAAGGAACAGCACGGTTCCACTGCTATAAGCCTATCGGACATTTTTGCGCTGCATACATCTGGCGTTTCAAGAGAGCACTTGCATCGGGGGCACTAATTGTTTCTGGTAGTCACGGGCGTAGGGTCGTGTTGTTCCTCGCTGCTGCCTCGTAGAGAAATGCCGTTCGAAGTTCCACCGGCGTTGCTGCTGCTTTGGTTCGACGCCTGCTAGCGCTGTCTTCTTGCGTGTTGCGCTTATCCTGTTGTCCGTCCAGGTGGAGTCTCAAATCCTGGTCCAAAAACTGAGTGAGCAGGACAACCCCTACGCCATCATCGCGTCATGGGTAGGTCCGACGTTGCTCTCAACACCAGATGCACCAACTTTTTCGTGTGCTAAATCGAGTTGGTGCTCGAACGGTCCTCTTCCGTCGCCGAAATGCTGTTGTCTGCTTTGCACGGGGAAAGCTCTGGGATTCCCTGCATGTTGGGGTTGCAGTCGCTGTAACTCGAGTTTGTGCCTGGTTTCCTTGATGGTTGGTTAGGCTAGCACTGACGCTGGCTTTTTCTTCGGTTTTCGTTTACCTGATTGTAGCAATGAACACGTTGGTTCCCATCTTTGATCAGATGAGGAGCAACTTCGGAGAGGAGGCCTTGGCAAGGCTGGAACCGTTTTTGCTGTCCGTCACCGGAGACCAAGGCAGGATTTTCGCAGGGTAAGATGCGTTTACGGCAAGCACGGTGGTATCAACCGAACACAGTTGTCTCAGCCAATTTGTCGACAGCAAGGATGATAACATGGTTGAGGATATAACGCAGCAAGGGTAACCATGACCAGAGGTCCATGCATGGAATGACCGTAGGACGAGAACAAAATTCCTTACCCTTATATTGGCCGCTGGTGCGTCGGTGCTTGTGTTTGTTCTTCTTTGTCTTTTGTTCCAGATACCCGGACAGCTCGTTGGTGACGATCGCGTCCAAGCTCCAAGATAAGGCTGCGTGGGGCGAGCAGCGCTACGCGCGCTTCGCCAAGCTGCTGCAGTTCTGTTTAAGCGACTACTTCAAGAAGGGGCTCAACATGTGCAGTACCGTGGTCGGAGACCTTACCAAGGTTCTCTATAAGGTACAAATTCCCCCCTCACGGATATTGTTCCATTCCCCGTCGATGAGATACTGTAGATTAGAAATGAACGTGTCCTCTGTCTTTCGTTCCGCGTGATCCAAGCCAAAAATTGTAACGCGTTGTTTCCCAAATATCGCTCGGACTCCGATCCCTGCTGCTGATGCTGCTATCTACCTACTCTGTGGAAGGAACCTCTACGATCGATGGTGAACGTGTTCGATCGAGAGCTTTTGCATGAGAATTGTGTAGAATATGTGCCTTCCCACCTGCTTCAAGGAGGTACGGTAGACGTTCCCCTAGTCTATAGTAAAGGCGCCTTAGAATAGACTCCAGGTGTTGATCGGAAGGATCTCAACCTAGCCATCAAATCGGGTAGATAGCTACAATAGCAGTCGGGAATAAGGTTCGTTACTATCCTACCCTTTTGTGTATCCTGGCGATGTTGGCGAAGAACCTGCGTGGCACCACTGGTTGTTGATGGTTGAGTTGCAAATTTTGGTGCGACAGTGCTGCAGTCGATGCTGGTGCGGCTGCTCCCTATCCACGCGAAGGTCGCACACTTCTCACTCGACAAGATGAGCGTTTCACAATGCGACGGCGATCACTTCGACAGTGCCTTACGGGTTTGTTTGGCATCCCGTTCTTCGTGACTATTCTTTGGGCTAGGTTTGGTTAGGTTTCCTCTTTCTTCTTCGTTTTGCCGTCGCTCACGTTCTACATCTACCAGATGGTTATTCTTACTCCAGGTGAACGGCTCAGACCACCCGCGCCACGTAGTATTTCTGATCATGCTCGTCTTAACGCACAGCCGGTTTGTTTGATTCTGGTTCACGTCTCTTGTTGGTTGGTGGTCCCCACGCTCCCGCGCGTTCCCTCCTTGCGTTTCTGTCTGGATGTGTGGCCGCAGGCGATGGTTTCCCTGCTCTTCAGCTTCATGGTAATCTGGGACTTGCCCAACCTTCGACGGGGCGTGACTGCCCTCAAGACCTCAAGGCTCAGCTTCGCGTACAACACCATATCTCCCCAGGTGCGTGTGTCGGCGTTTGCGTGCCGTCAAGCCAGAGAGGGGCAAGGCGGCCGCCACGCGTGTTCCGGCCTCTACCACGACTCCTGCCTTCGACGCGTGCTCCCCTCGCGTGATGTTCAATGAACTTCACAGCCGGCAGACTCATGAGTACTAATGTCCTGTGGTCAAGCGGGACCTCGTTTTCGAGTCGTCCTCGATTACATTTGCTGGCAGTAAAAGGCAGCAAGGGTGTGTTGGGTAGGGTACGGGTACGCTCGGTAGGGTATGGAGGGCTTTACTGAGCGTACCGGGAATTCGGTAGGGTACTATACCGGCGAAAATACCGGCGGTGTACCTCGGTACGTACCCTACCGAATACACCCTTGAAAATTTGCACAGCATCAAGCGCGATACACGGGAGACTTTGCATACAGAAGCGACGCTGGTGCATGCCCGCCTTGGAAATGTAGATTACGTCTCGAGTTGTCAACCATGTTCCGCCGTATGTCCAAGACTACAATGCCGACGTGCGGAATGATCCTGTGTGCCACGTTCGGATGCGAACGTAACGCAGGTGAGCATCTTTGCCAAGCTGGTTGGGCAGAGCTTCGAAGTCCAATGTGAGTCGGTTGGCTTAACTTGTTGTTGTCAACTCTTGAACCGAAATAGTTCAGTTTCGACACCTCTGGTGTCTGATTTTCACTTGCGTCATACGTCTCGCTGTCTACGGTGATTTAAGTGCGGACGCACACTAGGTTGGTACATACGCACCTTACCGTTTCCTTTGTGCAGAGTTGTAACGACCCCAGGTACAGTTGGCACACTTGCCAGGTTCAGAACGAACCCTGCTCGCATCCCTCAGTATGCATATTGGATTGAAACCCGTGGTGTGGTCTAGACCGTCTTGTATTTTTTTCGCGATAAGTATTTCGACGCGTCTCGGCAGCTTGACAGATACTTGGTTGGTGCAGAATGACCCTGGAACTCGAGAGTATGAAGGCGTTGGCTCTCAAGGATTTTTCGAGGAAGCCTGGATGAGCGATGACGATGATGGTCGACTTGTCTCGCACGAACGGTCCACGTAGAGCCTAACTGTGCTTGCTTCCCGTGGCCCTCCTCCTTTCCACTAAGTACACCCACTCTTTGCTTCTCATGCCTGGCCCATGCGCTTTTTCTGTGGATTCTTCTGACTTGTTTGGGCAGTCACGATCGCGGTCATCAACACCATCCTCACTACAGCAGGTATGTCCCGCGACGGGCAACTGTTGTGTCGCCGAGTGTCATCTACCCAGTGTGGTGCAGAATGCTCCCCGCTAGCCGGCATCCACCCCTTGGTTGTCCTTGGAAGGATATTTATGGCGTTGCGATGTTTAATTGCTGTGAGCTTCGTTTATGCAGTTGGTTCGAAGGTATTTTGAGTCAGTTTTCAGCAATATGAGTTACATCCATTTCACAACCGTTTTTTCAAGGGTACCTCCTTCAAACGACAAATTGTCTCGTCGACGCGCGATCGTGGGCGAAGTGTCGACCACGAGTTGTGCTTCGACGTTCAAATTAGGAAGGAAAACATCGAAACGCCTCTTCGAGACAGTTCGGTATACCTTGTAGACTGTATCCACGAACGGCAGCGTAAGCGTGTTGTTGCCTACGCCTGACAGCTGTGCCGTGCGATTTGTTTCTTGCAGCCTACGGTAAGCCCGTTGTTTTGCAGGTTGTTCGTGTTTGGTCACAAGGTTAGCGTTGCTGCTTTCGTACCCCCTCCCGCCGTCTCGAAGGCTGCGGAGATAACCAGCACGTTGCCATGGTGTAATGCCAGTTGCGCTGCGTCGTGCATCCACACAATGGTGTACCATGGAACCTGTTGGGTGGCACCCTCTTATGGTTCATGCGGCGCAGCGCGATCAAAAGTCGCGTATATGATGCGTGGTGGTGAAATGGCGTCGATCGACCGCTGTCCATGCGGTTCTCTCTCGTGCCGGGCAATGTTTAACGGTTCAGGTCTGATCGCCCTGGGTGTGAGCGGGCCACTAGTGCTGTCCTTCATCGTGTTCCTCTGCAGCTTTGTGCCTGTCGTCGGCGTCTTTATCTCCACCCTGCCAATGGCTGTCGCTGCTCTGGGTGACTACGGCATGTCCAAGGTACGTGTATCACAACCACCGAACTCGGCGAATTGTTTTAGGCGCCGGAGGCACCCTGCCGTAGTGGTCTTGCGCTTGCGTTCGGTAGTTATCGCGGCCTTCGACGCAGAAGTGTTTTTGTGCGAATCACTTGTCCGTTGCGTCACGTGCCCTTGCAGCTGTGTGTGGCGGCGGAAGTGGCTCTGCTGTTGGTCCTGAAATAACCAAAGTAGACATGGTTCGGGCTAGAGGCGTTGTCAGTTTTGCCCAGGGATCGTCACGGCCTCTAGACCTGCCGTTGTTGCATGAAGTGAGCGTTCTTGCTTGTATGCATGCACTGCTCTCTTGTGCCAGATGCGGGACATTTGTTTTGTTGCTCTGAAGAATCACCAGTCCACCGGGCAACACGTGACGATCCGCGCGACATTTTTCGTGAACGCATGTCTTGAAATGCGTTGATCATGGCCCGTTGCGTGTCGTATTTTCTTGTTCAGGTTTTCCAGATTTTGCTGATGATATTCGGCGTGCACGCTGTTGAGGCCTACTTCCTTAATCCACAGGTACGATCTGCTCCGTTCCAGTTTGTGGAAGTTCCTTAACCAAGTGGATGCGTGTTCGCAATGGGACTGGTGTGGAACACCTGTATTTTTTGTGAAGTGTCACGTAGCTGCTCTGGGGCACTAGTGCTTCGAAAAACGTGTGCGCGGGCTATTTTGCTGTTGCGCTTACCCTGCTGTAGACCCAATCTCTTGGTCGACGCCAATCACGACTGAGTCTCCGTAGTGGACATGGTAAGAAGGTAATCGGAAGGTCAAGGTGTAGCTATTGCTCGCTACGAGGGCAGGCAGGTTTCTGCGCTGATGTTTGGGCAAGAGAAACAGATTCCACAAAGTAGGGAGGTACCACAAGTGGTTCGCCTTCTCATGCCACCAAAAGGCGCATGGAAGATCCGTACATCCATCAGTGGTCTCTGTTGAATCCAGTATCGCCGCTATTCCCAGCTCGGCGTCTCAATCCCGCGGTGTACCAGTATCCCCCTCTCTGCACGGCATCGATTTGTTTCTAACGCGTCCCCCCAACCCCCGTGACCGTGCAACGTTTTCGTGGCGGCAGATCTACGCGTCGAAGCTGAAGCTTCACCCCGTCGTGGTGATCGGAGTCCTCTACGTAGCCGAGCACCTGGTCGGAGTGCAGGGGCTAATCATGGCGGTGCCGTGCGCTGTCTTCGTGATCAACAACGTTATCCTCGGCAACGTTGGCGACGCTGCCGCGGACAAGAGCGACTCCATCGCAGCGACTGCTTAGTCTAGCGCCCCTAGGTCGGCGCCGTTCGGACTATTTCGCTCGGACAGGCGCTTCGCGTAGTGAACAACGTTGGAGAGCTGCGTGGAATCGCATACGCTTTGGTGGATTAGGCTGTAAAAGGTTGTGTTGGTACCGGTTCTCGAATTATGTTTTTTTGTTTTAGGGCGTGGGACTGTAGATGGGTTTAACCTGTTCCCGAACATAAGTTTCCGCAAGACCGGGGTAGGTGTATATCGGCATGTGAGGCGGCGGGAAGAGCGCCTGGGTCGTATGCGGGTGTGGTTGCAGTATTGTCATAGAGGCATGCCTACGTTCCCTGTGGCCTGCGGGAGGTGATTGGCTGCTTGATTTAGCGCTGTACACCACTGCTGTGGGTGATTAGGAAGGCATTTCGAGGGATAAAAATGTATTTGTCTCAGTGACTGGGCACAGATCGTACACTTGGGCATCGGCACCATGCGAGGCTGAAGAGGGGTAAATAGTCATTCAAAACGAGTCCGTGTTGTACGATTTAGAGGGGGGAAATTGTGTACTTCAAGTCATGTGTTGGGCGTCTCTCTTGCGTGATCCGTGAGAAAGGCATTTGTTTCTTCAAGGCTCTCTTGTAGTTTAAGCAACTAAGCGCATCGTCTGGATGATTGCATTCATGCTGGGCCTTGTTCCTGGAGTGTTGCCGAAGGTGTCATATGCATATGTCGTGTTGCACGGCGAGGTCGACAAAGGGCTTATCGCTATACATACGTGCTCCACGAGCAACAAGTAAGTTGTGGCTTGTGCGGTTTTAGCGTTCGGAGGTGGGTGGAATATGGACGTGTACAAGCGTTTACTCGACAGAGCTGTGTTGTTGATATTGCTAAACGTGGAAGAACCGCAGCAGGTCGTAAAACATTATTTATGTGAAGAAAAATTTAGTACATGAACGTTTACTAGCGAGGGATGCTTTAGCGTCAGGTCCCAGAGGAAGGCCCAGAACGAGGCTGGATGCACTCCTGCCCCAAACTGCGATGAAGAGACTTGCGTGACATCGGGAGGTATAGTCTATGGGGTAGAGCGGGTCGCATCGAAGGGCACGACGACAAAAGCTTTCACCATAACCCCACAGCAGTGTTCACAATGTGTTTTACTACCTACCGTGTTCCACAAGATGGCAACCACAAAGGATACCACACGCCGCACAGAATACCACATCGGCAAGCATCCGGTGATAATATTCTTGCAACTGACACGAGCAAAACGCAGGTCACTCAGATGAAGATCTACGACCACCGATGAGAGGCCACACCCTTTCTATGTTGTTCAAGGCAAAGGATCTCCAAGTCATGTAGTCTGTACTTTGTGCTTTGGGTGTTGAATGTGTGGAAGACGGTGCAGTAGTGTCGACGATGACGGGCTTCCAAAAGTATGGGAAACACATGTTTGTAATCTCTCGTAGATTGTCATCTTAACGTAAAGATCTCGAAGATTCACTGTTCCACATGTGCTCGGGTGGGGGCACAGAAGCTGAGAAATCTAGCCAGGTCGGGGGCACCGTAGCTGTGCCTTGCCGGCAGACGACCACAACAAGTTGCACCATCACCATCCACATGTCACATGCCGCACCTCATGCAGTCACTTTGCCATGGACAAGTAAATGCTAGCACGCGCCTCGGTGGAGCTGCCCGTAGCGTGATGAATATTGCGAAAGAGGACGTGAAATATGTCGTCACCAAGGCTGCAAATGTCACCATCACAATTCGCCAATGTTTGCAGTCTACAGCAGAGCATCTTTGGTGTGTGCATGTGGAAGGATCTTGCTGGTGGTTGCCTTTCACGGCCCACAGATCTGCTGATGAAATCCCTCCCGGCTTTATCACCTAGCCAGGGTTCCTTCCCTTGACCCTGTTGACATGGCCCAGTCAGTTTTGATTGAAACTGGGAATAACTCGTTCCCGCTTTGCTTACCCATGGTCGCTGAGCCTCCCATGCATCATGCACGCGATCCTTAGGCAATGTGGAAGATGTGATCGGAGAGAGCCACAAAGCAGACAGCAGAAGAACCGCATCTACGACAGACCAGATAATAATGCCGACTTGTGCGGCCCAACTAGACCAACCAAAGGCATGCTACCACGCACGCGTCGCCCAATGACATGCGCGGCATCATGTGCCATCATCATCAAGCCTTCTCGCCATCGACCTCGCCGCTGCCCTCTTTCGCCAAATCGCATCCCCATCCCCACGACACACGTCTGCCCATTGTTTCCTCCATTGATCCCTTTGCTTAGCTGACTTGTTCCGAGAACGCCTCCACGTGTCATCCAAACCCACCCAGACCAAGTACGCAGGACCTGCATGATCCATCAAAACCGCGGAACAAGCGTAGAGATGGAAGAAAAACGAATTCGACAGCGGCACAGATTCGGTGTACACGTGAGGGACCCAAGTCAATAGAACGCGCCCACTTGCCCACAGTCCGGCGATAGCTTTAACGGTGGTAGCGTGCAACGAATATACAATAACAGGACGGTGACCGACTTGGCAACAAGATTCCAGAATGCTATGAAAACCAAACAAATGTTCATCCGTGCGTGGGAAGTGATCCATTCCAGCCCTCCGATATCTTGTGTGTGCCACTAGTCTATGGCATCGAGATGTTTACCTTCGAATGTTTGTGAGCGTGACATCTAGGGCCGTTACAGGTATGAGGACTTCGACCTTACCGACTGCAGTCAACCCACAACGGATCTTCGAAACGGCGGCAACAGCGCGCGGTCTCAACACTCCTTCTTCCACACGCCGCAAAAAATCACCTGCACGTGCCTCCCCTCTCTTTGCGGTTCGCTTGGCTACACGTTCACGAGTGCTTCAATCAGGGCGGAAGGTACAGCGTTTAATTGCATCCCCACCATTTCCTTCCCGAACGAACCATGAACCGATGACCTAAAACCGAACTTGGCGTGTGCCTCCGTTTTCTTCATTTGCCGTAAAGTTTGGCTTCGTGCTAGACGAAAATGCCGCACCAGCAGATCGGAGAAACCCATCAACACCCCCACACCAACAGGCACAGGAGCATACCCCCCCTTCTCTCTCTCTCTCTCTCTCTCTCTCTCTCTCACGGGTGTGTGAGGTGTAATAATCTATGCACACGAACCAGCGTGGTGATGTCTGCAACCGGAGGGCGCAGCGTGTACGACGTGACCCCTCGTCATTGCAGGCACGGAGGCCTTCGTGTGTCCTTCTTGCGGACAGTTTCATCAAGAATGATGTCCTACACGCGGACAGGACTATACACATGTTCGTGCGCCCGTGAGCATATTCTCGAATATTTTATGGCCACTTGACAAAGTCATATCACGGTGATCAGGACGGTGCCGGTCAACACTGATTGCGAACTCAACGCTGATTTTCGAATGAAGCCACAACAAGCGCGACGCCTGCTAGCTCACCGGTTGCGAGCCAGATTGGCCACGAATTGAAAATGAGTTGGCCCAGAACCAAGCACATGGAGAGGAACAGCGCAAGTCCTGACAATGCTGTCCGCTGAAAAAGTTCTTTGACAACCTGACACACAAAGACGTAGAATTAAACATGTCAACGTCAGCATCAGCGACAGCAGCGACAGCAGCACTCGCAGTGATGGGGTGTCTTGGGGTAGGTTCGGGCGTAATGAAACAAATAGGCCGTTACAAACGAGAATCGAACCGGGTCCGCGTTTGGGCATCAAGCAAACTGTGGAGGAAGAAGAGGCGAATCACAAAGTACCGTGCGGACTAGGCATTGATCGGGTGGATATGAACGCAAAGGTTCGGTGGGAGGACAGCGAGTGTACCTTCGGACCCTGATCCGGTATAATCTTGGGCAGCGCCTCCAGCAACCTCGGAACTTCCTGATACCGAGCGACAAAGCCGAACCGGAACACGCAACCTTCAATAACGGCTTACGTACAGTATATATGTATATGAGTACCTCAACGACGTGGTCAAACTAAACGAGAGAACCTGCAAGCTGCTGTTGGGACCATGACAAAAGCACCGCTTCAAGCGCATCCGAGCAGCACAAATACTGACGAAAAACGCAGGTGCTTGGTACGTTCAACCTGCTCTTCTATGCAACCACAAGCTAGACGGGCGCGAGCTTGGAGCTGCCTGAGATACTGGTTGTTCACCGTCGCTGCAGTCGTCTCCTTCTTGACATACGGCACTCCCTTGAAAGGTCTAGCTCCAACCATGTAGCCCACAGAAGTCTCGTGATTTCACATTCCGACCTATCCCTATAGACCGAACGATGTCATATTTCCAGAAGGAGGCACGCATCAAGGGACCACCGAAACCGCTACTGAGGCTGTACGGTACCTCGAACTGGAGGACCTCGGGGGCGGCTGTGGAGCCCGTTTCGCTTTCTTCACTGTGGTAGTCTGCCTCGATGCTCCCCTCGCGGCCCCTCTTCCCTCGAGCGAAACCAGGAAAAACATACAGGATGTCTCCGTCACTGGTCACCTGCAGACACACAACGTTGGACAGAATTCGCGGCGACCACACAAATTTCAGGCTTTTTACGAGCCGGCAACAAATGAATGTGGATCTCGCATACCGCTGAACGCTGCGTAAAAATCGGCCGGTGCAAAACATCATGGCAAGGTACGTCGATTCATGAGGTCCAGGTTGGAGAATGCTCGGGGGTTGCAGCAATTACCAAAGACGGGAACGCTGCACTCACGGGAAATCGCAACGTGCAACTAACCAGCTAGGTGATGTCAACATCAAAGACGCATTACTTTACAAAGCAATGGATGGCCTACTACGCCCTCGATTTGTTTATTTTCGCGCAGCACCAACATCATGAATACAAAAACCCCAGACTTCCATCTGCCGGCCAGCAAATGGAACACAACACCACAATGCGCTGCTAAAGAGATAAGGGCATGATGGCTTCATATGTAGTACAAACAACACGAGATATCTATGAATATCGTGACGGCCATTCCGTATTTGGGATGCCACAGAGCCTTTCATGCACAAGCCATCATCTCAACCTCGGGGTGCCGTTAACCACAAAATCGATAGCCCGACGGCAGTAGAGGCAACCAACCGTCTCACCTCCGGGCTGCCATTGAGATCGAGCAACACCCGCAGAACGAGCGCCTCACCCCCAACTGCGTCGACGCTGATGTCGCTCTTGTCACCTTTCTCGTAGAAACCACCACCGGCATCGGCACAAACTCGGTACCATTCTGGCGGGCCTTCCCGAGGGTTTAAAATTGGTGCGAGCTGCTCCATGAAGACGACCCCGCCGCTTCGCGAGATCACCTCGCATGATATCCAGCGGGAACGCAACGGGGTAACTCAACCACCGTTTACTCTAGCGCGCTGTTACGGAATACTTGCACGTTCTTGGGCGTGAGTGGATTACAAAATAACTAGTATATCACATTTGTTCCGAAGAATCGTCTCTAAATATATTGCGTCTTGCTGGGATTGAAAATGACTTCTCTGCACTCTTCCCCGCCTCTCAAGACGGGGCGATTTCGGGTGGCAACATCGTGAGGGGCATGGAGCGCTTGGCGCCTTGGAGACATCTTGTACGCGCATGTCAACCAAAACTGCAGATTTGTGCCGTCAAGTTCCTTGCAGTGTCTCATACGAAAGTGCATGAACGCTGAACAATTTGACGGTCGAGATGGGCAAAGCAACTTCTGTCCAACTCTATGTGACATCCCAAACAACCCAATTGCTCGGAGTTTCAATGGCGCCGAGGAGGCTAGATACTGTGTTTGGAGGTCAGAATTCACGTTGACACCACAAATTCAAACGAACCAGAGCATGCCCTCACGGAACGTCCTTTGGCTCTTCTCCCTTTGCCCGACTGACTATTCATTTCGTGAATTATGAATATCAGTACCCGGTGTCCTCAGTTGTCGTCCAAACATGACCGTGAAATCACGCATTGGGGAGGGATCTTGAGCTGGATTCTGGTCCAAAATGACGAAAAAATCGAAGGCTTGCGAGACATTCTGTATGTATGCTATATTCAATTTGCACAGATCCCCAGACAGCTCGTGTCAGCGGGGAAAGTAGATGGGCATGCCAGTGATGAACGAGTAGGACAAAATGATCGGTTGCGCAGCACTTTTGGTCACTCTCTGGCAGTTGTACACTGGTACCGTGTAAGCATGGAACATACAACGTTGAAGGCGTCTCCCAAGACAGAACACTAACAGCAGCAAGGCACACCTGCGCGGCCATGTCGAGTTGTCTCTTCCACATGTCTCCCTGAGGGTCCCATGGTCCCTTCACGAGCGCTTCCAGCGCGACCGGCACCTAAATTGCGACCATCGTTTTAAGCAGAGCACTGCAGATTTTCGCAACAAGTTTCGTTGGACACGTTGGGTGTAGCTGGTATGCCAAATCTTCACTGTGGAATATGCTCCGAATACGGGTACAGCTGCGATGACGGCACCAAGGCCGACACCCATCAACAAGGCATGAAGACGTGATGGTCCACACCATGATCAACGCCAATCTACGCTGTCGTTGCATCTCTGCATACTTAGCCATTGGTAGTGGCGCTTGTCGATGGCGTCTTACTATCACGGAAATTTATCGTCAAACGCACGAAACGGCAACCCAGGCAAAGACCTAGTGCAGGAGTTTGACGCACGAACAACGCAAAATCGTCGTAGTGCTACCTTACGTGCTGAAGCATCAAGATCGGCTCCAAACACCTTGCACAACAGAAACCGCTCACTCCGTGCAAAAGGTAAGCAAGGACCATGGCAGAGGGGATGGGCATGCCTTCAGAACCACTACGCGCGGCATACCGTTCCACGAACAGGCGCCCCCGACCGTCTGACATGTTTGAGTCGGTCCTTCATACCGGAATATCGAGATCCACACCCCACTTCAGTCGGAGCCTCCCCGGGGCGCTGCTCCTCCTTCTGCTTCTGCCGCTGCTTTCGTCTTTCGGTGATCTCGCCGTCTTGTATGCCTCATCGCGCCCCAATGCAGGCCGACCTGTTCTCCTGTTGGTGCCGAACTCAAACATGTCACCCGCCACCCGCCCTCCGCTTCCCACAGGACGACTTTCATCACTCGCCACCTCGTTGCTGCTGTTTGCAGGAGCCCCATCCCCCTTTGCTGCAGTCCCGTCGTTTTCGATTGAAGCAGGCGTTGGGGTTGGAGTTGGTGTTGCTGAGGATGCCAAAGGAAGCCACAGGCGGCCGTAGGGCTCCTGTCGTCGTCGTTTACGCCTGCACGTTCAAAACAGTGACAGTCAACATAAGTAACACCCACGTGAGCCCGAACAACATAAAAAAAACTGTGGTAGGGGGCAACACAACAAAACCCTTGGTACGTGTAGTCCGGTTGCCATCTGCCGCTGTTTCACAACACAACGAGCGTGGAAAATGCGATGCTCTTCGGTGGGGGCCTCTCCCCTCTTATCTGTACCAGCTGTGCGTGTTTTGGGGAATGAAAGAGACTGGTTTTCCAATCCCCCGACTTTGGAAATATTCCTCTCCCTACGCGAGAGAAATTAGAGCTCGAAATCAATTTGGCACGAATGCAGTCTCCACTCCTCCCAAAACATGGAGCTTCATAGCGGATCGGCGCCGTACTATAACAAGCATTTTCGCTACAAACCGAATGGTACCACATTGAGAAAGACAACCAAAGCCCTTGGGGCCTCTTAGGGTTGACGGCTACGATAGCAGGGAGGCACATCTCTCACCCAAAGCTTGCAGATCGGTTCTCATCGCTGAACCACGACCCGAGCAGCACACGATCCGTTCCGCAACCTCCGCTCTCATGGCAGCAGCTTGTCCGGCGGGACAGACCGACAGCAGCACCATTATCACCACCAACATTGGTGGCAAACGCCGAGATGGCGGGAGAGGGTAAGGGGGGGTACGGCAGCCACTGGTGGTGTTGCACGGGCCACCTGACAAAGGCCTCCAAAGCAGACATGGCCGAAGGCACTATACCAGGTGTTTCCTCTCCAGAGTACAGTAGTCTTCCCCTGCGAAGGTGCACCCTCAAGTTTGAACGAGTCCCCTTAATGTGGTGGAAGTATTTTTCACCGTCGGTGACACACCTGCGGATTGGTCCGTGCCCGGCAACAACGAATTTCCGCTGTTTATAAATAGGAGAACTATTCAACGTATGTTTCTGGGATCGCCCACACCTGTTTTAGTTTCCCACCGGCATTATTTGACCCCCACTCGAACGACCTTGGAACTCCCGACTGTTGGTTCTCACTACAGTACTGGGTGGGTGGCAGTGTTGGATATTGGGCATCGAATATCGATTTAAAACCGATAAATATCGGCGATACTCAGTATCGGTATTGCCGGTTTCCACGCCGATATTTGTCGATACGAATCGGTATCGGTATCGAGATATCGGTATTCGATACCCTCCGATACTGGCCCATTCGGGGGCCCCGACACACAAAAACAGGGGTGGGGCGGTCGTTATTTTCCCTGGGCCCCCATTTTTTCATGTCTGGGAGGTCCACATCCCTGTGATCACTGAATGGAAATGCAGAAGATCACACAGCCCCGCCTAATGTGGGGAGTTTCCATATTTTACTGTCTTGTTGATTGCTTTTCTGAGGTTTATCCATGCTGTTTGCTCCAAAAACAGAAAACAACCCCAAAACAGCCGTATCGATATCGAGTATCGATACTCGATACGTATCGAGCCATTTTCAGAATATCGAACAAAATATCGGTGTTTGCGTTTTTTTCTAGATACAGCAGTATTGTATCGAACCCTTCTTCCTGACCAATATCCAACACTGGTGGGTGGACTTGTATTTTCTCTACGGATTCCCCTTGCAGGAGATGTACGTGCGTACACGTTCGAATGACTCCGAAAATGTTCCAGTTCGCAGAGGTTAGATGCGACAGACTCAGATTGTCCATTATTCATCCGCAGGATCTGGAAGTTGGCGACACAAGCATGATTTGCGTACGTGTCATCTGTACTAGTACTCACCTGCTGCCGTTGGCACAAGGACAAGAGCATGTCAACAATCAACAAACAATGAAAGTCGCTGGAAAGCAGGAGGGTGTACCCATTCTTCTGTGTCATAGGTACTTCACAGGGCTGTGGACAAACTCACAACAGAAAGCTTTTGTATCGGGATGCAGAGTTCTTCATGCGCCAGACGAAATAACTGGGGTGTGCCTGTACATGTTGTAGACCAACAATGCTGTGTACGTACCATCACTGCTCTCGCTGAGCATGATGATGACCTCAATCGAGACGGCAAAAGAACTGCATGAGTCACCTACTCGCCTAACTCTGTAGACTATACGCACCTCTGGAACTTGCTGATCCCGCTCTCTGCACAGGGGTGGGTGTCAGTGTCAGCCCACAAGGAACAGGGACAGGGAGACAGAGCGGAGAGGGGAGGGAGCGGACAGACGTGCGGCGGAACTACACTGCAGAACCAGCACGCTTCCAACTCCACACAAACCCCGCAAACCGCTTGACGTGCAATCAGCCGGCGGTGGCCTGACTCCTCTCCGTGGGTGAGGGTTAGGGTTAGGGTTAGGGTAGATGTGGGGTGAGGAACCTAGCCTTGCTCGCGTGAAGAACCAAGCCTTGCTACGTTCAACATCGGTTAGTCCTAAAGAGTTACTATCAATGTGTAACCCAGTCTCGGTGGCCTACTGGCGCCTAGATATTTATGTAGATGTGCCGGTGGGGTCGTGTATGTTTCGCGTTTCGAAGGTGCGTGCGATCAAAGCGTGTTTCTTAGGCCTTCGTGGGCCGGGGTCAGCAGGGAATTCGAACACTGAAAAAGGGGGGCATGCAACGTCAGCTGCCACGACGAGCTAATTGCGCCGCTTCCCTGTATCTAGTCTATCCAATTGCGTTCACTTTCTCTCCAACTATCTGTCTCTCTCTCAACTGACTGGAATTCCCTCATAAGCTCATCATTCCAACCATAAACCAAACCTTCCTCACTTCTAGTCTCCATCTCATGCACTTTTCATGACCTTATTTGGCGATATCTCAACCAGACAGAACTAATTCCAACCCCGCTCCCAGAGCCATCATTCGCAAGTCCATTCCATCACGCCTCAACATATATACTGCGATTAAACTACCCCAAGTCTTCTTACACAGACCAAAACTAGGGTTGGCTTATTGCACGACATTCGCTCCCCCCAGGTTCAACGCATACTTATCTTCGATCAGTCTCGTTTGAATTGACACTCAACACCAGCGTGCAATACCTGACCTACAACCAATATCTTCTCTCGCAACAAGTCCAAAAGTTAATCACCAGAATACCAACTCATGTAATACGCACACCAATTTCGTCACGACCGTGGTACCACTGCAATATGACTCCATCACAAGGTACATTCTTTAGCCAAAACAACAATTGCTCCAACACATCAATTTTTGACCCGTATTCGACTGCACCACTTGGCACACTTTTCCGCAGTCCTACCTGAATTTTGACCCGTATTCGACTGCACCACTTGGCACACTTTTCCGCAGTCCTACGCACTTCAATAATTCGCAACACAAATTTTGCCCCGTATTCGACTGCACCACTTGGCACACTTTTCCGCAGTCCTACGCACTTCAAATCCAACACTTATCTCATCCTCCAACTCAAACATGTACTTCTTCACACTTTTCGCCATTCGGTGTGCATGCCAGCACCACGTCCCTGGATCTTGTACCAAGTTGTCCGTCGTCAAGTTCTTCTCCACAAGTGCCACATTGATGTTTTTGCCGATGTCCACCAGCTTGATAGTATGCTTGATGCCTTCTTCCCACCTCGGATCCGGAGTCACCTGCACCACCTTCGCAAACTGCCACCCAGCCTTAACCGTCTTAAAATATAAATATGCACCAATCATCGCCCTACTTCTAAGACTCGGCCTACCCCGTGTGTCACAACAAAGTTTGTAATCTTTCTGCACGTGTCTTTCTCCCTTCCTGCTAGCAATCGTCCTCTTTGCACCCTGAATACGGTACCTCCGATACCTAATGTTCCCTCCGGCCGATTGTTCCGGCTGCTCATTCCAATACTTAAGTACCACGTCTCCATATTGCTCCAACTCTACTTCATGCTCCCACGTACACTTAGCCAACCCCGTCCAATGCGTGTAGTACTGAACCGCCCCCACTGATACCTCGACAAATCCTGTGCCTTGATATTTTACACGGGACCAATTCCTTACTATCCACTTCTTCCTCCACGTCCTCTGCCGTAAGATGGAACGGAGGCGCCAACTCTGAAAACTTATTCAACACATACTTGCTAAAGCCCCACGGCAAAAACCTAGGCCTATCCTCGTTCTCGTGCTGAGTATAACACTTCTTACACCGATACACCGACACCCTCTCATTAATGTTCTTTCCTGGCTCATCCTTATTCACGTCCAAAAACAAAACATTCGGGCCCACCTTTTCCCCGTCAAGACCATCACCTGGACCCACGATCAACACCTTATACGGACCGGTCC